GCGCCTGGAGCGCCTCCTCCCCCCTCCTTCTGCACTGACTTTGGTGTCTGCGGGGGGGTTTCTCGCTCTCCCAACTGCTGTTGAGCAGCAGGTTTTTGTTTGTTTCTTTGTTTGTTTGTTTTCGTGGATGTGCTCTCACAGAGGCAGGGACTGTATTGCTCATGGCTTGGCTCTGGGCAGCAGTGGGCCCCTTTGGGGCCAGATGAAATTGTCTCTTACCTGCCACGGGGAGGCTTCTGGGTTTTTCTCACGGGGGCTGCCACTGCAGTTTCCCACCCCCACACCTCTCACACCCCCCCGAACCTTGCCATCAAACCCAATACACTGGGGAACAGCTAGGTCATTACTGACTTGTAAAGTATCAGGGATTAAATTAACTAATGAAACCCTAAAAAGTGATGGGGGCAGAAGGGGCTGGGATAACAGTGCCACTTTTGGGGGATACCAAGCTGAGACCAGGGGATAAAATGATCACTGGGTAATTATTGTATGTACCCAAGGCAGGGACTAACTTGTTGAGAAGGGATTTGATGATTAAATTGGGCATTCAAATAGTAAATTGTTAGACTGGAATAACAGTGTTATTAATGGAGTGCTCGCAGGCCCTGAGAGCAAACATACATGTATATTCACCTCTTACTAGAAAGACCCTGAAATGGGGGCGGAAGCAACAATATAGGTGGACAATTTTACCTCAGGGGTTTACAGGGCCACCTATCTATTTGGGTAAGTTCTAAATATATATATATATATATATATATATATATTTTGGAGCAATTATAACCTCCCAAGGAGGTATTAATGTTAACAAATATGTGGATCATTTTCTATTGTCAGGACAGGAGAAAAGAGTTGTGAAGAAAGCTACTAACAAGCTATTCAACTTTCTGGGAAAGCAGGGCTTGGGAGTATTAAAAATAAATAAATAATAATAATAAAGTACAATATGGAGAAAGAGAAATCAGGTATTTAAGGCATCTAATGTCTGAAAGAAAACAGAATAAATGCAGAGAGGATTCAGGGAATTGTTGAAAATTAAGAAAGAACTAAAAGTTTTAAAAAGATTTTTTTTAAGGAATCAGGAGCCATGAAGTCTGAAGGAAAATGGATACTCCCTAATGGGAGAGAAATGCTGAATAAAGTGATAATGAGGCAAATATTAACTGTTTTACATCAAAAGAGTCATTGGGAAGTGCAAGCAATGTGTGATGTTGTGCTAAGAAAGTATGTCTGTGTAGGAATATACACTTTAGGGAAGCACATATGTAGAGGATGTACCACATGTCAAAAGGTAAATAAAAAGGTCTTCTGTAACCCATCTAGAGGGGGACGGGAGCCAGGGCTTTGACCTTTCCAAAATATACAGGTAGACTTTACTGAGTTACTTGTTTGTTCTAATTGACCATGTGACTGGATGGGTGTAAAGCTTTACTGCAAGGGTTAAAGCAGGCCTTAGAGATTGAGTGGGATTTTCACAGCCCCTGGCACCCCTCCTCTTCTGGGAAGGTGGAACGAATGAATCAGACATTAAAGAAGCAATTAACTAAACTAGTGTTAGAAACCCAACTTCCTTGGGTAAAATGCTTACTCCTACAGGTTTAAACAGCACCAAGAAAGGATACAGGAATTTTACCATATGAGATGCTGTTCAGATTGCCCTATCTGGGCAGAAGGGATGAGATACCACAATTCAAAACAAGAGAGTTTTCTTAAGAACTGTATTCTGGGGTTGTCCTCTTCTTTGTCATTTCTCAGGACCTGTGGGTTGTTGGCTCAAACCCCACCTTTGGAATTCCCCATTCACCACCATCACCCAGGAAACCGGGTCCTGGTTTGGACCTGGAAAGAGTCAACCCCGGCCTGAATGGGAAGGACAATTACTAACCACTGAAACAGCTGCAAGAACTGTGGAAAAAGGTTCGACTCACTATACTCGAGTGAAGGCATCCGTTGACGCTAGTACCTGGGAAGCTGTTCCTACAAAAGACTTGTTGGAAGTTGAAATTGAAAAATCTCATAGTGGACTCTGAGCAAGATAAGAGCTTACAATTGTAAACTAACCTTTTATTTTCACAGGTAACTAACGACTGTGACTTGTGATTGAGAGAAAGAACAGACCTATAGTGAATTGCAGTGCTCCCAAGGGGGGGTTGTTATAGTAGTAGTGTACATCTTACTTTTTGTATCAATAATTATTTGGAAACCTAAGGTTTAAAAATGATGACAGGGAAAAATTGATTACTAATTTTGTTTTTAGTGATTCTAGGCCTCAGAGAAGGCCTTGGTCAATTGGCAACTTGGAAAAGGCATGACCAGATAATAGCAAAAACGGGATACCCCATCAAAATATGGGTGACTGTGACAGAGGTTTATGTACCACAATCTGTCACGTTTGATGTTTGTGAGGTGTTAGCTTGTGGAGATTTAAATGCCCAACGACAATTGAGCAGAGAGAACAAATAACTGGGAGAGACCCAACAGCCAGATTGAGAATAGCTGTATGGAAACTATCCTCTATTGCCATCAGAGAAAGGGAGAAACTCAAGGAGAAAACAGGAGAGAAAACAGGAGGCCCTCTGAAATGTGGCAGTTCAAACATTTGAGATTCAAACAGGGTATGGGGATGTGAATGCCTGGATAGAATGGGTCAAATATACTGTCCAGAGTCTCAACCGTAGCAACTGCTATGCTTGTGCCTCGGGATGACTGATTGCCCAGATAGTGCCCTTCCCATGGGGGTGGACCGAAGACTCCCAAGGGATGCGATGTATGACTGCATTGTACCAAGAAAAGACTGCCTGGGGAAATGAGGCCTGTAAGTCTCTCTTTGCTGTTCCTTGCATGATAACAATATCACGGTTCCCCCTGCATTCTCTACAGCTATAGGTAGCCATACAGCTTGCCTCTCACGGCAGGGTGTGAGTGCTACCTGGCATCTGGGAGAATTTGCCTTGTGCTACCAAGGACTTGATGGGAAACTGCTCAAGACTAGAGATCCCCAGGGCAGATCTCTGGTGGTACGGTGGAGGGAAGATCTTACGGTCCACCCTACCATCTAATTGGGAAGGCACTTGTGCACTTGTTCAATTAGCTATACCCTTCACCCTGGCATTTGAAAGAGAAACATCACAAATACCCAGAGGAAGTAAAAGAGGCTTAGGAATATCATTTGATGATAGAGTATACATAGATTCTATGGGGGTACCTAGAGGAGTTGCAGATGAACATAAAGCCAGAAATCAAATTGCTGCAGGGTTTGAGTCACTGTTCTGGTGGGTAACAATCAATAAAAATGCGGATTGGATTAATTATTTCTATTATAATCAGCAGAGATTCATCAATTATACCAAGGATGCAATGAGAGGAATCGCTGAACAACTAGATGCCATCAGCAAAATGGCTTGGGAAAACAGGATAGCATTAGATATGATGCTCGCAGAGGAAGGAGGTGTGTTTGTGTGTGTAATACTGAGCAACCATTGTTGCACTCTTATACCCAACAATAGTGTCCCAGATGGCTCGGTAACAAGAGCATTGCAAGGGCTTACCACCCTTGCCAGTGAATTGGCAAAAAAAAAATAAAAATAAAAATAAAAAAAAAAAAAATAGGCATATTTGCAACATTGATCGTAGTTGTAGGAGTTTTGACAGCCATTGGTTGCTGCATTATCCCCTGTGTAAGAGGACTAGTACAGTGGTTAACTGAAACCGCACTATTGAAACAAATGACCATGGAGCTACCACCTTACTCAGATAAGGAGATAATGAGGAGATGGAAAGCAAAGAAGAAGAAGTCTATCAAATTGCACCTTAGAGAAAGGTTTTGCAAAAATCAACAGTTTATAAAAAAAAAAGAAAAGGGGGGAATTGTGGGAATAGAAATGTTGTTTTTGCAGAGTTACATTGTTTAGAAGGAGGGAATGTGGTACTGAGATATGCTTACAGTGATAAGAAAGTTTAGCAGGCGACCTAGTAAAATGCAGACAACCAGTCTCCTTAGGACAATTAGGTGAAAATCACGGTGTCAAGTCAAGTCAGATAAGTGAAGAAACATTACCACTTCAAACAGTAAAAATGTCAAAAGAAATTTGAAATTTAACAGGCCGGCAACTGAAGGCCATGCATTGTTTGTGAAGCATCAGATAGATTGTGAACCTGGATTACCCACTCAGTGGGGAAACAGGGGAGGGTCCTGCCATCAAAAGGTATATAAACTGTGTTTTGGAACTAGTAGATGCGCTCTCTCCTGCTTGTGGGGCGCCCGCCATTGCAATCGCGAATAAATTACTACTTCACTGAGATCCTCGCCTGAGCCTAAGTTATTGGCTACGGAGTGTTTCTCACACCTTTCATAAGGACTTTGCAGCTACTGTGCGAGTCCCCAAATTCTTCTCTTGATCCAGGAACAAATCCAGATCATTATTCAGACTCTTTTTCTTCTGTTTTACTCTACAAGGCACATCGGTGTTAGGAAAAGCCCTTGGACTTTAATCAGTTATTAATCCTTCTGTATAGCAGGAATTCAGACTGATTTTTTTTTTTTGCTCAAAATAACATCTCTGATGGTCTGTCTTGGAAAGATATGGGCTTCAGGCAGAAATTTTCAGTCCAGATGTAAACATCCCCCAAAGTTTAGGAGCTTAGTTCCTGCAGGTGTTGTGTTAAGCCAGACTTAATTTATTTAGAGAAGCAAAGATACTTTTTGAGTGTTTAACAGCCTTTGTTAAAGTTCATTTAAGCCAATGGGAGGCTCCTTGTTAATTTTCAGCAAGCATTATCAGTGCATATTTCTATTCAGCTTTTGTAACTCCTTCTCTTATGAAGCACATTAAACATATCACTTTGTTCCTAGCCTGAAACCATGAGTAAAATAAAATAGGAATTAAGTAGGAGTCAAATGACCCTACTGTTCAAGAAGTCTGTATTTTCTCGTCTTGTTTTGTTTCTCTTTTGCTCCAAGATCAGGATTATAAAATGCTTATATATCCTTTTCATCTGAGATAGATCTGTCCTTGACCACCTCAGTGGGGAACCATTCCAAGAATACCTAAACAGCATGTACTTCGACAGGTTTCTGCAGTGGAAGTGGTTGGAAAGGTAAGTCACAATATTTTATTTATTTATTTATTTGTAATAGAAACGAATACAAAAGGTTTATTTCACTTTCCATGCAAAGCTCATAGAATGCTGCCAAAATCTGACAGCTGAGATGGTGCACGTACAGTCCCTTTGTCTTGAAGGCAAAATCAGTTTTGTCCTTTCTTCAGCATCATTAGTACCTCTTCCCAGTGCTTGCCATTTATGGCCTTCTCAATGCAGCAATTCTCTCCCTCTTTATGCTGTTCTCCTTCAAAAGATCCATCAAGACTCATTCCCTGTCCCCTGAGCTGTATTCCAGGGAAGCTCACCCAGAAAAGCTCTCCAGCCACTGCCTTCTATCTCGAGGACACCGCTGTCCTGGAGGTGGCAGGCTCCAGCAAGCAGCTTGGGCAGCTTCTTTGCCCAGTATGCTTGTGCATGCCTGGTGAATAGGACAAGACGTACAGCCCATAAAAAGTAAGAATCCAAGTCTCCTCTGTGATCTGGGAAACCTCAGTGGCCAATTTCATTGTAGACCCTGTCACAATGAGCTATTCATGGCACAGCAGGAGGACACATTGCACTTGTTTATGACCTAGCCTCCTGCATCTATAGCGCGAAATGTACGATACACATCCAGTCTCTGGCTTTTGCATTCACAAACACTGCCCAAGCAAGAGGGAAACAGATGCTGCTTGGTAGGGAAGTAAATAATAAAAGAGAAATCCATCCCAAAACACTAGGGAGCCTGTTTTGGCTTCTAAAGCTTGAATGTTCTGCTGTTTAATGGTATTAGGTACGATTAAAATACATTCAGATTTTTTTGTTGTCTTTCTATTTAGCTACGCTCCGAATATGGTGACTTTTTGTCTAGACCAGTTATCACAATTATTAAAACACCGTAAAGAGACAAAAATGCAGCATATAGGTCCCACATGGTATTTATTGGCTAGACACTGAAGAGCACATTTAATGAGCAAGCTGCCTTAGTGGGTATTAATTTGCAGGGAATGGGACCTTTGCCCCCTCCTTGCTGGTGAGTGCCGTAGCAGATGACCACTGCTGGGTGACAGCGACCTTGAGTCAAGAGAAGCCCCAGTTGCCACAAATGGAATTAATTACGGCAGATGAGCTGGGACCAGATCCTCGAGTGGTGGATATGAGCATAAGGGCTCGGAGATCAAAGGAGCTGTGCCAGTTACTCTCCCTGGAAAGCTACACAGCTGCCGCACAGGGGGAAGGGAGGTGGTGGGCAGAGGGGAGAGCCGCTTCATGCCAAGACATGCTCCACATGCCACCTCCTCTGAATCCAGCATTTACTCTTCCATTTCAATTGAAAAACATCAGATGATTCATCTCTAGCCAGGCTATTTCCCAGCTATTTTCACATTCAGGATAAGGAATTTTCTCAAATGCTTTGAGGATTTTATTTTTTTCCATTCCCCCAACAAATGTGACAAGCTATTGGCTGTGCCTATCTGGCTTAAGGAGAACTGTTTTTAGGATTAGCAAAGAGCTGTTAGTAGCGTGGAGTGATCAACAGCTCCTTCTGGCAGCCTGCTGGCTCCAGTGAAGAGTCAAACAGTCGATTTACTCCAGGGACATTGCTGAGCACGTAGTTATCTCTGCTAATTGTTGCTTTTAACCCTAACAGAATTTGCAGTATCTTCTTAGAAGCCTGAAAACAGCATTTTTCCTCTTTCCGTTTTGGCTATTTGCAGAGTTTTCTCCCTCTACTTTTAAAAACAATGATGAGCATAAATGAAACAATTCACTTTAACGTTTATTCCTTATTGTCATCAACCTCATCATCGCCGCCGCTGGAACAGCCGCGTTTTTGTGCTCCCTCTGCCGGCTGGCTGCCCGCCAGAGGAAAACAAAGCTCCGACGAGGTTCTGATGAACGTTCATATCGACTGCTAATGCAATTTTAAAACTTTAGTGATAGACTGGTGGACACAAAATCAGATATCTCAGAGCCCTGAGTTCTTTCTCTGTCACACTGTAAAACTGTGATGATAGCAAAAGCGGTAGAAGCCAGATTTAGGGCTGGAGCCCTTTTGGTAGAGCAGATTTTTGTGGGAATTTTATTAGATCTTGTACCCTTATGGAGCACTCTGCTGTCAGAAAGACTTATTTAACCCCTAATTTGGCCTTTAAATTGCTACAGAAAATGCACACAGGTTAACTCACCAGAGGGGAAAAAATATATAAAATAAAAATAAAAAAATAAAAGACCCTCTGCTTAATTTGCTCAAGAAACTGAACCAGAAGAAGACTTTCTTGTCAGGTGAATGGTTGCAGCTAATCTGTTTCACGTGCCTGAAAGGAAAGAGATGCTCTTCCTCCTTTCTTGCCCAGCGGTGCTGTCCCCAGAGGCAGGTAATTCAGGTCGGGTTGGAAGGGCTCCGAGCCATGCTTCCTGCTCTTACCCTTCTGTGAATGGGATCCGAGCTCTCCTCTCCAGTTCCTGAGATTGTTTTTTGCTTGTTTCATATTGATTTCCTGTTTTGCTTAAGGTCAAGAAAATAGAAGTATTTTCATAGTGGTTGAATCTTGGATCTCTTTTTCTCAGCTTGAAGACCAAAGTAATTAGATGTTAGCCCAGCACGACCCTTAAAAAATTCCTCTGCATCACAAGATGAGCTGTGGAATTAAAATGCTGTTGCAAGCTCTCAGGCCTCGTCTCTGCTTGACAAAGGCCAAAACTGTGTAACGGAGATTCAGTACCCTCCTCGGTCCTAAGATGCTAGCAGAAATTATCCTGATGACTCACTAATGTGTTGTATTTTATTACAGCTTAATATGTTGGAATTGAAAAGTTCAGGCCATACATAGTATTGAAGTAATGTAATTACATAATTATATATTATATTATATAATATAATTACCTTGAAATAATGTGATTATATAATATTTATCTATTTTGCTTTTCAAAAGTATGCCCTGAAATAAATAAATCACAGAGAGTGCATTAAATGTAGTGTGTCTTTTTTTTTTTTCTCTCTTCCTTTTCTTCCAGGCAACCAGTAACGAAAAACACGTTTAGGCAGTACAGGGTGCTAGGGAAAGGCGGCTTTGGGGAGGTGAGTGATTCTGAAAGTTTCTGTTAAGACTGTTTCTTGCTTCTCAGGCACTGCAGGTTACAGTATCTTGATGAGACAGAGGCTGATTTTCATTAATTGCTGACGGTTTTACTTAACCTCTCTTGACACTGCAATCTCAAAAGAACACTTTCGAAAATTATTTTGTGTTTGACTGTTGCAGTCACAGTGGAATTAGGGTCACACCCTACTTGTATTTTACTAATGGCTTGAGGTCACTGCCTGGGCAGCAGAGTCCGAGGAGGCAGAGGCAGGCCTTTGCGGAGCAGATTACCATCTACACAGACAAAAGGAGGTGGGATAGGAAGCAGGCGGAGGAAAGTGGAATAATTAAACCAATATTACACAGCAGGTTTGGAAACTGTAGACGGTTCCCCAGATGCCCCCGCCTAAGCCTTATTCGCTCCACCACTGTCTCTAGCCTTAAAAGGACTAAATCAGATCAGACCAGATTGTGAGGAGCAAAGTGCAACCCAGAAAAAGTGTTTTCTTTGACTTACCCAGCAATTGTTCTCTTTAATTCTCAGGTCTGCGCTTGCCAAGTCCGAGCAACAGGGAAGATGTACGCCTGCAAAAGATTAGAGAAGAAGAGAATAAAAAAGAGGAAAGGCGAATCCATGGCACTAAATGAAAAGCAGATTTTAGAAAAAGTCAATAGTCAGTTTGTAGTGAGTATTGAACTCTCTAGAGCTTAGTTCTGTGCTCACCTGCTGGGCACCCTCTCCTGTTGTATCTGATCCAACTCCTGTTACAGAAAAGGTGCCATTTTCTGTAGGGAACCAATCCTTCCACATTTCACCTTAGTCCTGCTCCATGCACGTTTGCAGAGTCTCGCTTTTATCTGTGGTCTGTGAGAAATGCACCAAGCAAGGTGCCTGTTTCTACCATGTGAGCTTGATGCTCTTTACAGCCTTGACTTGCATCAGGGCTTGCATCAGGCTGAGCTATTTTTATCCTGCGTGATTACCTGAATCCCCAGAGCCTGGGAGAGAGGAGCTTGGAGCAGACTGAAGGAGATTCAGCCCAAATAGATCAGAAGAGACTGGCTGGTAGGGGCATCTAGCCAGTGATGTGGAGCTGGTCTGCCTGACTTGGGATTTTCCTGAGTTCTGCCAGCTCTTGTGGGCTATCTGGGAACCCACTGAGATGGTGTTTTTTTGACAGCTGTCCAACAAAACAGAGCAGCTGGAGTTGGATCTCCCCTTGTCTGTTAAGATTTCTGTTGCCTGGAAGCATCTGAGAATTAAACTTGGGGATTCTGATGATGAGTAGTCTGGGTTCAACAAATCAATCTATAACATCCTAATATCTAACATAACAACATAACCTAATTCTAACATAACAACATTTTATACTTTTTTATACAACATTATTATACTTTTAAAATGCCTGTTTGCTATTGTGATAAGGCCCTTGTCAAATTCAATGGTTTTTTTTCCTCTTTATCTAGTGAAAATTGCTAATGAAAAGTGAGTGATTTCTCCCTAGCAGATAACTGAACTGTCAAAACCATGCTACAAATGTTTTCCTAGGTCAATTTAGCCTACGCCTATGAAACAAAGGATGCACTGTGTTTAGTTCTGACCATAATGAATGGAGGTGACCTGAAGTTTCATATCTACAACATGGGAAACCCAGGCTTTGAAGAGGAAAGAGCTTTGTTTTATGCAGCAGAGATTCTTTGTGGTTTAGAAGACCTTCACAGAGAAAACACAGTATATAGGTAAGTATTCTTGAGAGTCTTAAGACAACTTTCTCTGGTAGAACAGAATTGTCTGCATCCCCCCTACTCATGGTGGTACAATATGGTTTAGGTGTCTCAGTGTCTTTGATGAAATTTTGCAGACCCATGTGCAAATACAGTACGATTCAGTAGTAGTGGAAGGAAGCAGTTGCTTCACTAAAAACATCATGTTTAAATTACACAGAACTAACACAAAATTCCCCCAAATCCTACCTCGGCATGCACTGAATGACCTGAGAGAATTATGAAAGTTCTTTAAAGAGATATAATTAAGGAATCAAGTTTCTAGTTGGTATGAAATGGAGATCATTCTATTCAAGCCTCTGTTTTAATTAGATTGTGTTGCATTAGGGGCTATGACACATCAGGCATGGGGAAAAAAAACACCTCTCCTGCCCCATAGGGAGCAGAATATATAGATGATGAAGGGAAAGCTGTGGCCCATGAGCCATGGTAGTGTGCTGTAATTGGTTTCATTCTCTTCTCATGTACTTTGTGCTGGTTTCATTCTCCTCTCATGCAGTTTCTGTTAGAGCAGGTGGAACCACTCTGAAGTCCGGGCACTCTGGACAAACGGTGCCTCTTTGCTTCCAGCTGAGGGCCAAGTGGGTTTGGAAAGCAGACACCCCTTTCATCTGAGAAGCTGCACATCCTCACACAGAGCACAACAAGCTCTCTGCTGGAGCACTGCTGGTGCTTCAGGACCTGCAGCAAACCCACATCTCTCCTTGCTGCCTCCTAGTTTTCCTGCAAAATGAGGCAGTCTCTAGGTTTCCATTACTGCTGCGGAGCTGGGACGCTGGCTGGCAGTGTCCTGCAGGCAGCCACGGACTTCCCTCTCTTCCAGCAGAGTAATTAACATAGGAGTGTTTGAGACAAAAGGCACAGATTAATGCTCTAGGACATGGAAATTCTAGTTTTGATTAGCTAGAGGAGCCAAGTTCTTGGTTTCCAGGCTGGCTTATGGTTATACACAAGCACTCTGTCAGGACATCTTAGGGTTTACTGGCTGGATATGAAGGGTAGCTCTAGAGAGAGCTCTCATGGCTCCATGGGGATTTATTTATTTTTCTTTAATCAACAACCAATATAGTTATAAACAACATTTAATGCTTGTCTTCATGGTCCTAGCTTGTGAAATCATTATTGCTAGCATTCACAGCAGAAGAGGTTCTGTAAATTGATGGAAAAACATCCAAGGACAATGATTAATAGACAATAACATGGTGGTTTGTTGTGCCTTTTTTTTTTTTTTTTTTTTAACTAAGCTACACTTTAAATCATTGACATGCCGATGTATAATAAGCATTGTGTATATGCCTGTATATAGATAAATTATGATATTGTTCCTTGGAGGAGTTCTCTAACAAATTGCTACTCGGTTGCCTTGCTGTGACTCAGATCTTGCTAGCTCGTACAAGGAGGGCAGACATAGATAATAAGCTGATTTATTTGGCACTGGCCCAGAAGTAGAATTTTTCAAGGAACAAAATGGAATTAAATGTTTAATGTCAACTGAAAAATCAGATCTTGAGTGACATATCTGGCTTCCTTTTTCTTTAAAAATCATCCTATCACATTCAGAAAACTTTTAGGAGGTATTATGTTGTTTCTTTAAAAAAAATAAATCGTAAGCATACCTTATTGATGAAAATGAAAAATACATTCATAACGTGACTGGTAAAATGCCATACCAATGCCACTCTCTAATAAAACAAATTAGATCTGGCCATCTAAAATAGTATGGGGCTCTAAGAGAAATGGCATCCTACCTTCTTAAGAGCTTGTTTCATGCTACTCTTAAAAGAGTTGCTAGTTTGCACTTCAGATGGCACATTCATTTTGGTGATGAATGATATTATATCCCAGTAGGTGACATTTTCTAGCAGTATTTCAGGAGCAGTTGCAGAGACCCCTAATTTGTAATACTGCAAAGTGTTTTGGGACCCGCGAAAAGTGCTATATAGGTCAATAAAATATAGCAACTAAATGCTACAGCTTTCTCAAGGTGAATAATTCATAGCAAAACACTTATTCCTCAGACTTAATTTCATTTTCTGTGAACAAAACGCTTCTGAATAAATCAGAGCATTCCAAAATACCTCCCCATCTCATGCACCAGTGATGCACACTGTGTATGTGACCCGAAAAAAACAACCGGGCCAGACTTCAGGTTCAGCATCAGATAAAAAGTCAGAATTGCCTTGTCAAACGAGGAGCTTCCATTATATTTCTCAACTGTATCATGTTAGTAAAGGTCAATGGGTTGATTGTTCATGGAAAGCAAACAAGAAAACCTTCTGTTTCTCCTCAAATTTATACATATATATATATGTAATAGCAGTGTAGCAATATATCTATATTATAGCAGTGCCTGCAAGCTCCAATCTGCATCGAGATCACAATGTCCTAGGCACTACAGTACACAGCAAAGCCTTGTCCACCATGATTAATTGTATTGTTTATGCTGTCCCGTAGAGCAGAACAATGCACTATAGCCTTTCCAGCATGGGCGCCGTGCCAGCAGTTTATGTTTCAGTATGTTTAGGCAAGGCCAGTTTACATTTCAGAAGCTGTACCATTGGGAAGCATATTTACATATAACCAGGTCCACAGAGGGCTCTTAATTCTTCTAGACATTTCAGCACAGAAATCACAGTCCTCCCTGACACTTCCAAGTGTTAGCCATGCAAAGGGAGCCGGCCTTGATCCTGAGGAACCGGAGATCTGAAAACAGAAATGACAAGTGATGGCTGAGGGGGAAGGCAAGTCTGCCTTAATTGCCCTAAATCACAGAGAACTGTAAGGACTGAACTGTTCTGAGTCTTCATGGAGTCTCTCATTTTCTCATTCAAAGAAAATATCTTTTCTCTGCTAGCATGCGGAATCCTTTTCATTTAGCCATAGCCATAGCTTTAGGTGGGACTAATAAGTGCTGGAGTGGAGGATGAAGTAACTAATGAAGTCTAAGTTCTTCAAGGAAATAGTTCTTAAGGGATTTGTATTAAGTCTTATAAAATAAGTAGGGAACACCCTTCACATATTTCGATATTGATTACTTGGAAAATAAGCTTGGTATCATTGGGCACCCAGTGACATTTATCTGGAGAGATTCAGAGTGTCTGAAACAGGAGAGAAGGGGAGATTGTTCACAGCATTCTGTGTTCTTGCTTGAAAAATATAAATAGAAATGAGACAGGTTTTGAAGTGTCACTTTCATCAATGTTGAAACTGCCACGTGTCTGTTCGGAGGAAAACTCATGGCACTGAAGTGATGCAGGAGGCCTCCTGCCCAGCCGCTGTGCAGCATGCGGCTCCTGTTGGGAGGGTTCCTCTTGCACACCCGCCTCTCTTTGCTCTTTGAAAAAAAATGCATCTTGCTGGGAAGCTAACGGAATCAAGCTGGTTTGCAAATGCAAGGAGGCCTTGAAAAAAGGCAAGACCGAGCACTGCTTGGATTTGGACCAGGCAAAATGCTGGGTTTCCGCAGGAATCCGTCAGATAAAATCAGGGCAGAAAACTGTGAATCGAAGCAGTGCACTTCTCCCTGCCTTACCCAACCACACTGGTGCCTGATCCAGGCTCCCCCCGCTCCCAGCTGGCTCCTCTCTGCCCCGTGCCCATGCAGAGGCTGCTCCTTGCCCCTGCGATGTCTGCGTAGGAGTAGGGAGAACGGCCGTACAGCTCCTGCTTCAACAGAAGCCCCCTGCCACCAGGAGAGGCAGGGATGGAGAGGGGCTGGCACGGACAGCACCTAAAAGCTGCAGCTGGTGGAGCTGGCTTGGTGTGGACAAGCCCTTTATAAGAATGACCTGCCACAGCTCTGCTGCGTATATGAAAATGGGAGATATTTTTTCAGAAGTTCATAACTTGGCTGGACTGGGGATTTTCTTTTTTTCCACATGAGCAGCGAAAGGCACATCTTTGACATCAGAGTGACCACCTTGCCAGTTTTCGTGGCACTGCTCCAAACCACATAGGCATCAGAGTTTCCTAAATGTTTGTAAGAAGAATTTTAATCTGGGCACAGCATTCCCCTCTCTGCCCCTCATTTTTCCAAACTAGCTGAAGCCGTTATACATGTGCACAAGTGTGTGTGCACACATTCACGTCACTGGCCTGAGCCAGACGCCAAGCAGAGCAAATCTGAGCCCAGCGGATTGCTGTTATCATTTTCATAAGCAAATAAAATATTTTAAAATGTTTAATATTTTAACAAAAATATTTTATAAAAGGAAATGTTGCAGAGATTTATCAACACACAGCACTACAAGGCTTGGTTTACAGGGTTTACTGGTCTAGATGGATGAGTCCATTATAGAGTGCATTATGAACTAAAAGCTTGGCTTAGTGGAAAAAATGTAACTCCAGTTTAGAAAAAGACATATGGTTTTGTTCTAACTACGGGGTGAGTTGCAGAAAGTTGTATTGGTTCCATGAGTTCCTTACTGTTTGAGTTGACACTCAATTGGTTTATTACTAGTAATAAATGCACTCACACACTGTCATATGCTTATGTTATCAAACCCAGCTTCATACAAATAACCGCTATCTTTCATTTGCAGAGATTTGAAGCCAGAAAATATCCTGCTAGATGATTATGGTAAGTCTCAGAGGTTTACAGAGGTTCTTTCACAGTAAAATAGATTAAGTTAGTTTTAGGATACATATTGCACAAAGACAAATAATGCTCTGAAGTGAATAAGAGGCTCAACATACTCTAATACTATGTCTTGGGGTGGGTAAAGTGCTAGAACTCGCTGCACGGGTGGAAGGAAGCAGCTGTGCTACACAGCAGGGTGTGTTCTTGAGAGCATGACTTTGCTGGTGGTGTCTGCCTTTTTTCCATTGTTTTTCCATCCCTATTGTTACAAGGCTAGCACAACACAAAGGACATTGTGATTTCTAATCTATGCTCCCCGCTCCATTTTCAAAAGTACTTTCGTCCTTTGCTGAGCCAGCTCTCATTTTATGCAAAGCCAGGTACCCATTTGCTGCTGAGGGCAGCGATAATCAAATCTTAACGCTGAGTTATAGACCAGATGTAGTCCCTTCAGCCATCAAAGAGTCTCAGAATTATGTCAGCCCATCCATCCACTGTGATCAGTTCAAGACACTCCACTACAGTATGCTACTCGGTGTCTTTTTTTGGTTTGCTTTGAAATGCCTAACGCAATCTACTCTAGTCCATAGCCTGGCCGTTAACATTTCACTGCATTATATCCCTCTCAGTAATTCCTCTTTTCCTTATCAATGAAGCTGCTCCAATTCAGTGATTTAGGACACTCATTTCCTCACATATCATAACAGTAAATTGCAAGAGTATTGTAGTGTTGACAACTGTTGTATTTTTGAGCTAATTTGGAGTCAAACGATTATATCTGCTTTGTGTTGTCCTGTTTGTTTTTGTTTTTCCTTCCAGGCCATATTAGAATATCTGATTTGGGCCTAGCTGTAAAAATCCCTGAGGGTGAATCAATCCGTGGAAGGGTAGGAACAGTAGGGTATATGGGTAAGTTTTCAGTAGCTCATCTTTTTGACAATTTGCTGAGATTACTTGAGCTTTGGAGATCTTTCTGCCATGTAGGCTTAAGAAAAAAAAAAATTAAAAAATCACATTCTGCTAGGTCCAGTACCCTGATGCAAACCAGAAAAAAAAATTAAAAAAAATAAATCTAGAGGAAATCAGAAGTCAAGAAAAGGCTGGACCACAGCAGCTCATAATGAGACTGGTCTACAATGCTAAATCAGCAAGGAAAAATTAGAAAAAACAAACAAACAAACAAACAAAAAAAAAAAAACAGACAACTGGAATTCTAGTGATTTTATCATAGATTTATTTCAGTAGGGCTATGTGCACAAAGGAAAGAAAAGATTTCTTTCTCATTGCTACTTCATATAGTATTTAAAAAGTATTTGTATGTTTATGATGAAGTGGCTAAGTCCACATCTATATTTTGCTATTTGGACAGTGGGAGGCTACACAAAAGAGTAGAGATTTGTACGTGGGTAAAAAACACACTCCCAGATTTAACTAGAACTGTCTTTGAAATTGCATGTAATTATTTTCATGCATTCTCTGGGTAGGCATACTTTGTGGAATAAAAATTGCACGTGCTTATTTGACTAAATAGAAGCTAGCTGATATGAGCCACTGTTGTATCATATGGAAGCTTTAATGAAAGAAAGCAAGTCAGTTGTCATTTCTAAGTTTTGTTATTTCAGTGTAATTCTGTGTACACACTAAGACTCTGTGCCCATGAGCATATGTGTGTGTGTTTGTAACCACGGATGGAAGGTAAGGATGCCTGCAAGGAAGTGACTATATGCCCACAGCAAACTGGGTGTTTGCAACACAAAACAAATAGATTTGTTTTTTTTTTGAAGGAGGGGAAATAAATTATAAATTGAATGAGAAGACAGAATTTGTTTTTGGATAAATGTCACTGTTGTTTACAGGATGTGTGCTTGTGTGTCATTTCATAAACAGAGAAGTCTGGAAGCACTCTTAAGACTGGGCCTCTCCTTAATACTTAGCTTCAACTTGGTTTTGTTTTGTTTTGTTTTGTTTTTTTCAATTGGTCTGGCTTGGTAGAGAACTCAGAAGACAGCATGAACATGGCATGTAGAGAAAATAGCATAGCATGTAACATGCTGCATTTTCCGTAATTCAGTCATCAGAAATCAGGAGGTGTTTTTATATTCTGCCCACCATTCTCTCTTCCCGCCAACATCAAACATTGTCACAGGATATATCTTTCTCCTCCACAGCTCCAGAAGTGTTGAACAACCAGAGATATACACTCAGCCCTGACTACTGGGGGCTGGGCTGTCTCATTTATGAAATGATTGCTGGGCAATCACCATTTCGCGGAAGGAAAGAGAAGGTGAAGAGGGAAGAAGTGGACAGAAGAGTGCTGGAGACAGAGGAGGTGTACTCCCATAAGTTTTCTGAGGAGGCCAAGTCCATCTGTAAAATGGTAAGGGGCTTGAAGGCCCAGTGTGGCAGCTGCATTAGCAAGCTTCATCTGACACGGTTTGAGAGGTAATGCGGTACCATAGAGGGGCTGCAGAGGCAAGCAATAATCAAGCTCATCTGTTGATGGGATGACTGCATTCTTTATTCATTCAAATTGTGTTTATTTGGGATCATGGTCATTTTGAGTCCTCTCCAAAGTTTTATGGCCAAGGGAGCGGTATCTATTCTCGTGAGACTTTGAATGTTAGTTTGTAGTCAAGAATGCCTTTCTGTGTTTTATAATCTTGTAGAAAAAATAAAAAGGACTTGATGATGCAAGACTCTCAGTGTCTCCTGCAAGGAACTGAAAACCCCATGCTTCCATTGTCTTTGGTGAGAGCTGGGGGTAAGCAGGACAAAGATTATGCAATGAAATTATTGTGACACTCAAATGTTGTCCCACCCCATCTCACTAACTTTGTTAGCAACTTTTCCCCCAGGGTGCCAGGGTATCCAGCTTTTTTTAATACTGTTGAGCTGTCCTTTAAAATGTTTTCTCACCCTTTCAGCTGGGAGTCATTTTCATAGCACAATAGCCATGTCTGACAATGGAAATCCTCAAACCCTTTGAGAAATCTCAAAGCTGTGTCTGAATTCATCAATGTCTTGTCGACATCCATCTTTAGAAGACTGAATTGTAATTTGGAAAGGGATATAGCCTTATTCTTGATTTGTTTGCTAAAGAGTGAAGTCTCCTTTGGAGACGGTGACATATCTATGTAAACTGTAGAGAAAGAATGAAGGGAGAGAAAGATCAACAAATAGGTAGTGAGAGTTGCACCAACATCTTGTGCAATAGGCAAGCAAACAGCATATCAACAACATTCTGGTTGGCTGGCTTCGTGAAGAGACACTGAAGTCTCCTTGCAAAGTAATGGTAGCATTGCCAAGTATCATGCCTGGAAGTCATTAACTCACAGTGCACCAACTCATTGCTGAATCCCCAGGGTAGTAATTAACTGACATCACTCTTGATAGATACTTTAGGCCATACACTGCCCTTAATCTGCGATTCAGAGCCCCAGCGTAAAAAGATGTAGGACAGCCACAGGCTCATACAGACCATTTCATGTGCTCAAAAGGTCTGCCATCTTTTCTCTAGTAGCATCTCAACTCCTACCAGGTGAAGAGCAGAGTCTGGTGGAGTGGCAGAGAGTTTGTGCACTTTCAAGTATTAGCATGAAATGAAAATGTCACAAGGCAAAAATGCTTTGCTTGTTCTGTAGTTAGTTGCAGGCGTGAGACATAAAAGAATAAAAATACACTTTTTAGAAAAATAACCAAGCCTTTCTTTAAAAGCTGAGAAGAATTAGTAGCAATGTAGCATTGATGGGATAGTGCTGGAGAAGATCTCCCTCTCCCAGGGGAGTAGACAGCAAAAGTCAGTATGTTGTAGTGGTCATTTTCATCTTCAAACCATAGAAACCCATGGTTTCAGGGAACCTCAGGAAATGATCTGTTTCATTCCCTTGCCCCAGGAAAGGCATGAACTGTACAAAAATCACCCCTAACAACTTGGTTATTACTGCTTTACTGTCCAATCACAAGTCGTGTTTGTTTAGGTGGTTTGTGCAAACTCTTAATGGACCCAAAGAGAATGCTGTCTTTTGTGAACATTAATGCATTAAAATTGCTGTGTCTTAAGACAGGAAAAGCCTTACTTCTGGTAATAAGTATGATGGAATATGAGGTTTTCCATCCAAAAGTCATTTTTTATAAGAGATTCTTTAAAAATCCAAGATTCTAATACATTTTCCCAAATTCTTTTTCCTCTTTATATTGAAAACTAGAACTGTGTTGCTTTCTATCGGCATCTTATCAGGGAACAAAAAAAAATAAAAATAAAAAAAAGTATAATTAAGTTTCCATCATACCTGGAAATCAAGCATAAAGCCGTAGTACATAAATTCAACTTGGGCCATCAGAAATATCCAAACACAAGAGGCTTACCTGTAGCAGACTCTTCACAGCAAGAGTGAGGAACATGTTTTCCACCTTGTCTCCTAGTCTTCAAAGTGTACTGCTCTGTGATCTGATAGCCTTTATTCACTTACTCATGAAAACTCTTTAGTGTCACTCCACATCAACCTTCCTCCCCTGGATGTTTATGCCCTTTGTGTTTTTGCAGGGACATACCATAGCTCCCATTAATCATCATCCATCCCATATTTCCATGTTTCATTTTCTAAGTCATTTCCCATAAATCAGCCCTCATTTTGGACTGAAGCAGAGATGAATAATAAATAATTAGGAACAGGGGCAGCTGGCTTTCTGGGAAGCTCCCCAACCCATAGTTCCCATATAACATAACTGCTTCATGTTTCTTTTTGTTGTTTTTTTCTCTGAAAAAATCCAATCTTTCTAGGAAATACTCCCCGTTTGTTGTTGTTATGACTTGTACCTCATTGACGTACGTGTGTTTCCCCTGACAAGTGCAGTCTTGCATCCAAGGATGTGACTTGAAGTGCATTCAATTGAACAATACTGGATAGGCCCTTCTTGCTTTCCTGTCATGTCTTACTCCTACAGCTCCCATTTTAGTCCACAGAAGGGATATCTGATTGGAGGGTGCAAAGAAGACAGAGCCAGACCCTTCTCAGTGGTGCCCAGTGACAGAACAAGAGGCAATGGGCACAAACTGAAACACAGGAAGTGCCCTCTGAAATCAGGATACGCTTTCTCATTGCGAGAGTAGTCAAATACTTATAAATACTTATAAATACTTATAGTCGGGTTGCCAAGAGTGGCTGTGGAGTCCTTGCATTTGGAGATATCCAAAATCCAACTGGACATGGCCTTACACCTGCTCTAGGTGACTCTGCTTTGAACAGGAGGGTTGGACTGGACCACCTCCAGAGGTCCCTTCCAAGCCTTGGCTGTTCTGTAAGTCTGATATCTGATTCCTTCCTGAAGTGCCACCCTAACCAACTAAAAGATGATGGATTCTTTTTTTCCTAAAACCAATTTCTTCTGTTCTTCACTCACCACCAGAACTACTGTCATCATGCTGCTGCTACTCCTGTCTGCTTTCATCCCTTCTCTCTGCTTTCGTCTTTGGAAACCAACTTATTCATATATTTTTATACCTTAAAGTTTATCAGTGCTGCCTAAGAATTACTTTCAGCAGAATAACTCTCACTCTTCAAATGATTATTAATGCTACAGCTAATGATAATAATAATAATAAAAATAATAATATCTTCTATTCTAAGCTTGTGCAATGAGCTTTACTGTTACCCATGCCTGAGATTTCTGACTCTTCTACATTTGGCCAGATTGGGCTGTGATTATCATAACCATAAGTAGTGCAATGTACAATCATTTATGCCATTCTAGCATCCTCAGTCCCCACAACACTGTCTTGTTTTGTTTATTAAATCAGAGACATCTATAGTATTACTTTTCTATTCTCTATAAATTTTTAAAAATAGTATGTTTATATCTGTTTCAGGGTTGAAATTTATCTCGGTGAACCCTTTATTTCATAAGCTTAGTCAATGGAATTGGTTTTACTATTCCCCTTTTCTCTTTTCATGAATTTCCCTTACTCCTGTAATTTTAAGACTAACATCTTTGAACTTAGAGTTATTTATTATATGGTATGATCTGGATATGAACTGACTGATCACGTGAAGATAAATAAAGCTGTGCTTTGGGGACTGCTGTCTTTTTTTAGCAATCCTCACAACGCTTGTTTCTTTTCGTAAAGAAAGCAAAACAAAGTCCTGGAAAAAGTCTCAGACGTTGCTGAGTTTGAATCCCCAGCTGGGATCAAATAAGTGACATGAAAATATCAGAGTTCTTTTTATCAAGAACAAGAACTTTAATGTAACTTCACCATTGTTACTCAAAGAGTCTTCTTTGAAAGTCCTTTTCTAGTCATGCTTTGTCTTTTAAGTCTAGACTAAATCCTGCCCTTACTTAGACACATCCAGTGTCACCTGGAGCCTTTATTACCAGGACATAAAGCTCTGCTGCTTGGTATAACTTCATGCCTAAGCCATCTTCAGATCTGTGTCTCTGTGAATTCTCCATAGGCTTAGGCTGTAGAATTACACTGAAACTATGTTTGAATGGGTCATTGCACTGCCATTCTGGGAGGGCTTGTCATCAGACTCATGTAGTTCCTTTTGTTCTGCTCTCTACTCATTTTAAATACATCCTTTGAAACTGTATTAAACAAAACTGTAGCGATGACTCAAAACATAAAGCTGTTATCTCTGTTTTCTTTCCCTGGAGAGATCCCAAATTGGATGCACATTTCAGGCTCAAACACAGGTTTACAATTGCAGAAAGCTTCTGGAGCTGCAGGAAATGGTGTAAGATTCATTATTCCTTGGAGAAAGGACGGACTTTCCCTTCTGAGAGCTATTCTAGTCCATGCTATCTCTTGGCATCCACAACGGAAGCAAGGAGAAGCATCTAGTTTTGTTTACTGCCATCTCTAGAGCTGGCTGCATCTAGAGCTTATCAAAATCCCCAAATTTCTTATTTTTTCTCCATTGTGGCTCTCCTGGGGTTCTCCTCAAGAGGCAGGTGGTTGCTTCTCTGCAGCTGGGCTTCACATGGAAATCCCATCCTTTCTGTTGTCTTTCAGTCCCAGTCCATTCCCAGCAGCCTGTTCCCTTTTGTGTCTTTCAGCCCACAGTGGCTAGCCACCCATGACCAACTGCATTCATACTTAGAGACTTTCTTCTTGCGTCAGAGGTTACTGAATACTTCCATCACAGAGGAGTCCAGGACCCCCCAGGCAGCTTTTTTCTATCCTCAACCATTCCATCCTCTGACCACACACACCAAACAACTTCTAACATTTACAGTCTGTCAAGGGTAAATTCCCAGATTAGATAAGTCTTCCCACCTAGTTCAGAAGCAGGAGAATCACTGGCTGCACAGACAGACAGTATCCCCCTTTCTTCCCTTCACGGCTGACTTTTAGAGCAGAAACTGCAGAGGTCTCCTTTATCACCTACAGGCAGGCCCAAATCTACCCCTTCCCATCGCAACTTGCTCTGCGGAGCACTGATCCTGAGAGCTTCAAGGCATCATTTTCAAAAGTGTATCAGAGCTGTGGGTAGTAAAAGTGGTCCTTTGGAATTCAGATTCTTCCAGCTGTCAGGAAAGCCCTTTCAGCATGAAAATTAAAGATTAAGAGAATTAATGTCTCCTCTGCCCTGCTACAGTAGAACAAACCAGATCTTGACTGGAATTTCCAAAGTAATCTTCTTTACATAGGCTAAATCAAGATGCCTGTTGGGATTAAAATACGAAAAAAAGAAAACTTGCCTCAAGACCATGAAAGCTCACGGTCTTACACACGCTCCAGAGAAGTGCCCTGAGAGAAGTCTTTTCCTCTGAGCTGGATCAGTGATGTTGTATCACATAACTATGTGCTCAGAGGACAGCAAGGCATTGAGATGTTTCTCCAAATCTTTCTCTATCTCTTTACTCTGGCCACTCTTGGTGACCAACCTTTGTGCCCATCATTTAGACTGCAGCAGCACTGGATGCAAAGGAAACTGTGAGGAACCGTGCTATTTGCAGCCTGGAAGCTGCTCTGGTGGCCAGAATTAGAGGCTTTTCCACCATCTCTCAATCCTTACAGTCTCGTTTGGCTGTTGCTGCTGCTATTGCTGAGGCAGGCAGAGCTGAGCAAAACATTATTATTTCATGTGTCCAATACCGTCTGGTCCTGTCCCATCCCTCCCCACACCTTTCTGGGTGCTTAGCCCCAGCCATTGTAGCTTGCTCAGGACAGGCTGGAGGATGGTCTCTGCATATGTGGGGAACATTCGGATTGTTGAAGCCATTTGCTGTCTCAGGCTGAAAATGAGCCCCCTAGTAAGACATGCAGAACTGAGGAGGCTGTGGAAGTAAGATAAGAAAACCACTGATGCCCAGGGGGTAGCAGAGCATTCAGAGAAGCCTAAAGAGCTGTGACCCTGTAAACCAGTGATAAACACGAGAAAACTCAGCTCTAGCCTGGCACCAGAGGAAGGACTTGCGAGCTCCCATTAGCAACAAACAGTCTTTTCAAGGTTCCCCTTCATCGACTTGATGTGGCTGAGACAGAAACATAACCAGAACATCGTGGAGCATACCCTGAGCTTGAAACCCTACAACCACCAACTCCAGACAACCTTGCCCTAGCAGGGAAGCTGCCTGCATCCTGGTTCCCAACCTCCTGCAGGGCTGCACCTGACCATCTACCTGATCTCCTAAAATGCTGCTTCTTCTCTTTGACCCTTCCAGAGCCTCTTGCTCTCCTGAGTGAGCCCCAGCCAGGACTTGCAATGTACAGCTCAGCATGCTGCCTGCCCTGGCTGTGGGATACAGGCAGTAAGGCTCAACCAGCAGGGCTCCCGCCGCCCGCTGCCTGCCCGCGCTGCCCTTTCCTCTGCTGCCCCCCGGCGGCCCCGGGCGGCCCGCGCCAGGCTTACAAAACGTATAATTCTCGTGGAAAAGAGCTTTGGGGTTTTATTTCCTCCATGTATGGATAAAGTCTTTCCCCCAGAGTGGAGACTCCAGCAAAACTGACCTAAAAGCTTTTGTAAACATGGCTATTTTCAACCAACATTTAGTTTGCTGTTGCACTAAGGCACAAGTTATGCATCTCTTTAATGAGCAGAGATCTCTGGGCAAATTACAAGTTCTACTTCCCTCCTGTAGCTTAGAGAGTATGTCCTCCAGCCTTACTTGGAGATGAAGGGAGGGAATAAATGGAAAGAGATTTGTGAACCTTCACATTTCATTAGATTGCCTGAAGGCAGTGGTACATTAAAAAATGTCCCTGTCACAAGTGAGAATCTTTTTGCACCAGTCATTTGCATGCTGAGCTGTCCCCCTTCAACTGTTAGACTTGATCTCTTAAGACATTGATTTAGCCTACTTGACTCCATGCATATGATTTAAAAGATTTGGCTGCTTGTTCTGTGTCCTTATCCACCAACTAGCATGTGCCTGAGGTGTTCTTCCATTTAACTTTTCTTGCAGATGAAATACTCCATATATACAAGGTCCTCCAAGGATCTGCCTCCCCTGTCTTTTTGTTTATAGATCTGCTTATCTTATACACCGAGGATGCTGAGTTCAGTTAGTCTTCATTGCTCCATTATGAGTACCCAAGAAGTAGGCAGGACTTGCTGTAGCAGGTAGTGGTAGTGCATTGACTTTCTCTGAAAATAAATAAGGCTAAACTGAAGATGCTTACTGATACTGGTGCACTGAATCATCTTATGCACAAAGCCAGGTAGATCCATGGACAAAACACTCCTTGACTTCAACAGAGATAGGCCTGTGAGGGCAAAGTGTGGGTTCAATGTGTCAAGTGATATACCAGAGTATGCTGTGGTGGTGGGAAATATAACTTGGTATTGAATTAACTCTGTCTAAGCAACACAGGAAAATTATTCCTACAATAATGCAATGGGAAAAAAAAAAAAAAAAAGAGAGAGAGAGAGAAAATCACATGGGACTTATGGCCATGTATTTATATATGTTATGAAGATATGTCAGACCTCTTCCAGAAAGTGTCTGCTGAAAGTAAGCAGAAGAAGCAATGTCTATTTTGACTGTAAACACTTTACAGCAGGTAATTTTCAAAGGGTTTGACCAGCAGTTAGAACACTGGGATCCTAATCCATTTAAGTTTGGCCATTAAACAGCAACAATTACAATTCCCCTCTGTACTTCCCTCTGGGTATATTAACAAACAACTGGAGATATAAATATCATTGAGGAGCTCTTGCTTTTCTGACATGCATACCAATCTTCTTGGCATGTTTCAGCTCCTCACCAAAGACATGAAGCAGCGGCTGGGTTGTCAAGGGGAAGGCGCAACAGAAGTGAAGAGGCACCCCTTTTTCAAGAGCATGAATTTCAAGCGGTTAGAAGCAGGAATGCTGGATCCTCCCTTTGTCCCTGATGTAAGTACGATACACAGAACACCCACTGGCCTCTTTCAAGAGATTTGTTTCTAAAATAACTTCCCATTCTTAGAGCTGTCATCACTGCAGATATGGGTAGCAGACCTAGGAAGACGTGATAAGCAGTAGGGCTGAAGTGGGGAGGCTGGAAGGAGGAGGAGAGCTGCTCTGTATATATGTGTGCATGCAGGGTAGGTGGGCTTCTACATAGGGTGTTAACCTGGGGCTTCTTTCATTCCCACTTATTTTACCAGTCTTCTTGTGTGACACTGGAGACACCACTATATCTGTTCATGCCTCAATTCCCAAGCTTTAAACTTGGAACCTCTGTGTTCTCTTAGACACAGTAGTAGTGTGAGAATAAATATGCTCAGGACCAGATGGTGCTTGGAAAAATCAGCAATGAAAGCCATATGTATACACATAGGTATATAGATATATATGCTGAGGTGAGATCAGGATTAGGAAGTCCAAAGCTCTAAAGAACTGAGGAATGAACTGGATCCTTATGAAAACAGGCATTTGTTACAGAAAGTCTGAGCAGGTTCAGATATCGTGTCACCTCAGGCAGAATGCTTGGAGCTGAGATGGCATTTTTATCTCGTTAGTGTTCATGGGGAGTAGAACCCAATGCTGAGTCCTTACTCAGGTTTACACACCAGTCTCACACATACTGAAAGACTGCTGCATTGGCAATAGGAAAACTTTTTCCACCCTTTTATGGTATAGCTCTCTACCCCAGTGCAGAGTTATCTGATTATTTTCCTCCTGCAGGGCTCTCTTTCTGGGTAGGCCTCCTGTCCGTAAAGTTCCCATATGGTTCTAAGTAAACACTGCCATTTTAACTTATTAAGGAAAGTAACATCTTGGCAGCTCTCATTCACGTTGCTGCAAACTCAACCAAACCAAAGTGGTTTAAAAGCTACAAAAGTTTACTTTAGCTGCTCTGGTTTTGCTTTACATTTTACTATGCGGCCTAGTTATTCCTGCCAATTAGCCCATGGTGTTACGACCTGCTTTAGTGGGAAGAAATAGGAGACAAGCTACTATTTCTTTCTGATGTAGAAAATTAGAAAATTCTGGGCTGAAATTTGGGATTCGCCAGAGTGTATTAAAAGCTTAACTGTGGCATGTAAGGCCCAGAAGGCACCTCTTATAGACATATTTGCTAAAGCAGAGGCACATAAATTTTTATGGCTATTTATTGGGAACTCAAGAGCTGCCTCTAATTTAAATTATTTGGCACTTCATCCATAGATTTCCAAGTCTTTACTGAAGTCAGCTGAATTGCCCAAAGCTATATAGCCAATGGCAGAGGCTGTAATCCAAGCCATCTTTCCCCGTCCTCCTCTAGCCTTCTCTGTCTCCACAAAAATGTTGTGGATTGCAGCCACCAGAAATGCAAAGGGATGCAGCCTCCAGCAAATACGACTTTCCTTAGGAATTAGTTTGATTTGTTTGGCCACATTGCTCAGCTCTAGGTAAAATACTGCACAGTTGGACCACTGGGCTGTGCAGTCATGGTACCGTGTGTTGACAATATAATTCAACATGTGCTTCAGTTTGTTAGGTTGGGCAAATTCCTCAAGCCACCCCTCAATTATTCATGTGCCTCAAAGGGCAACTTTGTGTGGCTAATGGGAGCTCTCTAAGCACACAAATGACCACACTGTGTCAGGTAGCCAGTGATGACTCTTTCTGTTTTCTATGGCTGGCTGCTGGAATATGAGCTAAGGCAGCATCACTGCAAAAAGTCCTGTCTGTATCCCAGAAAACTGAGTAATTTATAAAGGTAAAGCCATTTGACTATTTGTTTGAAGAAATGCAGCCAAGTTAAAAGAGTTAATAGAGGTGATTCTGGACAGCTTCCAGCAGCTGAGCTATTAATAAAAACAATGGAAAAAAATGCCAAAAGATCTTCTGTTTTCTTTAGCAGTTAGTATACATTTCTTTAAACTTTTAAGCTGCAAAACCCACAGCTACCTGTGTAGGAGGTCACTTCTAACTGAGATCCCTTTTCAGAGCTGTCTCCAGTGTGTCACTCATAAATATTCTGTTTTTCTGTTGTTCCCTGTCTAGAAGAAAAGACTTTGATTTTTTCCTTGCTTTCCGTCCTTTTCCCCTCACCTCTTAACCATATGCTATATGGATGACTAAAACCCACTTTGTCTGCACTGATGCTTTAAAGACTTCAAAGTGGGATGCTTAACGTGCTTAAAGCAAAGTCAGCCTTTGATGATAAACATGCAGGCAGAGCAAGTTTGGAGAAGCAGGATGCATAGTCACTTGTTGTTAGGCATTCTCACTTGACTGAATCTGTGAATAGAAGCACATGGTCAGACTCAGAAATATTTTTTCTCTTGCTGTTTTTTTAATTCTTCTGCTGAGATAGCCCAGAGCAGTGTACTGCAAGGATGTGTTAGACATCGAGCAATTCTCCACAGTGAAAGGAGTAAACCTGGACCAAACAGATGATGATTTCTATTCCAAGTTTTCCACAGGATCCGTGTCTATTCCATGGCAAAATGAGGTAAGGATGTGTCATAGTAAAATTACTCCAATAAAACCCCTAACACAGATGGTTTTAGAGGAGCTGTATATTTCCAGTAATATACAGCTTCTGCATAGCTTGCCAGACTCTAATGATTTCATGAATTACAAATGGCCTCTTTCAAGATCTATAATGTACCACAGATGTCAAGTTCAGGTGACTGTATCTGTTGGCTGTGCATATCTGTGTAAATTGGCAAGGATCCTACTGTACTTCCTTCTCCTGTATTTCTACGGAGGTGTTTTGACAACAGCTCTGAGGAACTTCCGCAGGATGGATGGCAGTCCTAATGGACTCCATTTGTGATCCTCATCTAACAGCAGTTCCACTTGGGCAGAGGGGTGTTAATAACTGGGATTTTTTGAGTATGCCTGAATATACCTAATATTCTCCATAGTGAGAAAGAAGAAAAGACTAGAAAAGTGTGTGGGGCAACCTCTAACAAGACTGATGTGCAAACATACAGAACAGATTCAGCCTCTCTTATTCATACCTCCTATTTACCTTCTATAGCCACCAACAGGAATTCAACTGCTAACTCTCGTAACACATTGCTCAAGCTGTTGATGGCAGATGGTGATCCTGATCCTGACTTTGAACAACCTGGTGTTACTGGAATCTATTTAATGCAGATGTGTCACTTAATTTCTTTCTTTCTTTGTTTCTTTCCTATTGTATTCCACCAGATGATAGAAACAGAATGTTTTAAAGAACTAAATGTGTTTGGACCAAATGGTACTATTTCACCAGACCTAAATAAAAGCTTCCCTCCAGAGCCACCCAAGAAAGGATTGCTACAGAGAATATTTAAACGACAGGTGAGATCTTTTATGACTAAAATAAGGAACACTATTCTAGATGGCCAGTGTCACATACCATGTTATGATGATATTTATGCTATGATAAAGACAGAACATCTTAGAGAGGGCTGTCCATCACAGTCCAAATGTCAGTTAGCTGGCAATTTCCTGACTAATACTGCATATCCCAGATCTGCAGATATCCTATATCACCAGTACCATCTTTTTTCATCAGCATTGTTTCCAGTGGTTGAAAACTTCTTACCCAAACTATTTTTCAGTGCTATGCTGAAATGCCTTTTGAAATAGTTATTTGTTTTTGATAAGTTCCTTAAAACTCCTTGATTTATGTGTTAAAAAAGGAAAGAAAATGCAAAAGCTGAGTGAGATAGTCAAGGCAGGAAATCGAGGCTCTAGCGAAGAGAACAGACCAGAGAGTATATGATATACAGCTTTCATGTGGCACCATGACACAATTTGCAAGTCCAAATAACAGACTTATGTACTTCTGTAAAGTTAAAGTCATGCCTCAGCATTGGCAGGTAGCCTCTGTATTAGTCAGATTTAGTAGATACTGACATTTTGCAATGAACTGAATTTATTCCTGGAGTTCAAGTGAGTCTTCCTCAAGAACTCCCATGGTCCTCCTGACCTAGAGAGAATACAGGTAAGAACTGAAGAGTATTTTACAACCAGAGGTCTTCAAACAAATATCTTACAGTACAGTACATTATCACCATAAAATTAACAATGTTGGGCTAAAAGAAGCTTGGCATATTTGCAGAAGCTAATTGTCATTGTTTTCCTCTTTCTATAGCATCAGAACAATTCAAAGAGTTCTCCAAATTCAAAGGCCAGTTTAAATCACCACATAAATTCAAATCACGTAAGTTCAAACTCCACTGGAAGCAGCTAGTTCTGACTCAGTTTTATGAAATGTTACATCCTTCCACTATAGTCTATGGAGCTTCTATGGATGAGAGAGCATCCACCGTTCAGTGAAAAAAAAATAAAATAAAAAAAATAAATAAAAAAAAGGATCTCCCCATAATGGAGATTTTCTACCCATTCCTTCCAGTGGAGCCTCGCATTTTAAGAAGAAATTTCCACTCAGGTCTGTTTCTGGAGGTGGCACTCAAGACTGTGTGAATCAAATTTGTCTATTTAGAACATTGCAATAGAAATTCAATGAACATGACTACTTGCACGTATTTAAATAGCATCATACTAGAACTGAATTTTGTCTTTATTATTTTTAAAGAAAAGTTTTGTAAATTTCTCTATTGTCTCAGTTTACATTTTGTACATTTGTATTTAAATGAAAGTCAGACTTTGGAGGTGTATATTTTCCAAGCAGCAGCTGTAAAGCCATGTGTTTTAAGACATTTTTTTAAAAGAAAAAAAAAATGTGACTCAAGACTTCCAGAGCCTCAAACGAGAAATCATTCTTTTTAGTAAATCTAGAAAATTATTCATAAATCACTTTATCAGACTGGGTTTTATTGACATGCATTTTTATGGAACAGTTTATTCTTAATTATTTTACATCTGTATATTTGGTTTACAGCAACACTGCATACATTTCTCCTCTTCATTAATTTGTAATGTCTCGCATTAAATGCTAAAAGATACTGGCAAGGCTTTGATGTATTCACGAATACTACTTGCTATGCCTAAGGTTTGTGATGTCATTGGACCAGCACAGCTGAGATTTGCACTTAGTTACGTTGTTAGCTCATCATAATTTTCTTGGTTAGAAAGAGAACCCTATTTTAAACTCTTCTCCTTCACTGGTTTTTGAACCATTTCTGATGACAAGAAGAACAAAACCGAGTGAGAGGTAACCAGGAAAGCAAATGACCATTTCTTTTTCAAGAACTTGAAACCTGCACCCACTGAAATTAGAGCAAAACTCTAAGTGTTCTCAGTGCTGCAGTCAAAAGTCCAAGGCCTTTCCACAGTCACTCATACCAACCAGGTAGTAAGAGAGAAATTCAATAGTCTGGTTTATACTGACTGTGAGATTCATGTCAGCTCTCTAGAGCTGAGCTGTGAAAATTTGGAGCGGGATCTGAGCTGCTTTTGAGCAGTAGCAAAACCTTTAAGTTGTGTCTACATTTAAGAGATCTTTCACAGTCATGACAGACGTACATGACTCATCCCCTCAATTAGGTCCTTGACTTAATTGAATAAAATGTTAGTTATGAAATAACATTTCCCGCTTTTGCTTCCATCTTTCTTTGTCCAGGATCCTTTAACCATTGTTGAAGACTTTGTTCCCACTAGTATAAACAGGATCAGTCAGGATCAGTAGCAGTACCTGACACACCTGAACCATGCTTTTCACAGGCTAACATCAATTATTTTTAAGAATACCAGATCAAAACTATGGTTGCTTCCTTTCAACAGGAATTGGAAAAGCTTTGTACCCCCAAGTGCAGACTAACATGTTCTGTAAAAAAAATTTGTTCACATGCTTGTAGGCTGATGAGTTCACTCCTTTGGGTCAACGAGGAAGTTCTGATGCTCAGGCTGCTGTGTCTAAAGCCCTGATAAGGTAGCAGTGCAGTTATCCCAGGGTACTAGGAAGCACTATTCCTGAAGAAGTCTAAGTAGTCAAAGTTCATTTAGTCTATTCATTTATATCGTCTATCTGGCCACTGGAGAAGAGTAAAAAAATGCAGGTTAGCAGTGGCAAAGGTATGAGTGAGAGTCACAGACATTACATACTAGAACACCATGAAGACATGAAGAAGATATAGGAGAGAGTCAGGATTTGCATAAAGCATCTTACAGAGAAAAGGAAAGAAGATGGGGCTTTGGTGCCTTTCTCAGAAGTAAAATATGTTAAGGTGCAAGTCCACATAATTTCAAAATCTTCCAGTTTTCCTGGTCACTGGGACATGCAAGAAAGCTGTGTAAGTGTGCCATAACCCTACTGAGAATGTGTTTGCCTTTTTGCTTCAAATCAGTGTGGCACAGAAATTCCTTTTTCTCATGTAGGTGGTGCTCAGGGAGAGCTTCAGCCCCTCTCCCATGTCAGATGATGGCATTGCAGACCATATAGAACATGCAAGATTGTAGAGAGATAGTAATAGGTCTGAAATTTGAGTAATTTTTTCTCTCTGGATCATCTGCAAACTAAACCTATAATGGTTTCAGCTTCCTGACAGGAGGGGAATTAAATATTGTAGAGGTTGAAAGCCACTGCGTTTGGAGGGTTATACTACCTCCAGTTCCATTCTCACAGCCTGATGGAAAGCCACCTAAGTCAGCAGGATTCTGATCAGTCACTTTGGCATGCGCTGCACGGCCATATATTTGCTCTGAGAGGTTTTCCCAGGCCTTCTTCATTGACATGTAGGATTTCAGTTGCTTTCAAGACATATGGGTGAGAAGTAGAGGAACATGTCATAGCCAGACCACTGATGTGTGTCAGTGCACCTGAGGCAAGATGCACTTCTTACTTCATAGAGAGCTGCAAGGGATGTGCAACTCAGATCTGTTTTTGTCATTCAAAGACATCACCATCTAGCAGCATTGTGCATTTTGTGTTTGTGCACAGTCAGCTGACTTCCCCCCTAGGGGAAGGGGATGACAGCTGGGGGGCTAGGGTGAAGGACGAAGCTCTTTTCTCCACTACCGCCATTGTCTCACTTTGCAGCAAGAGACGAGCATATTCCCCCTTCAGAAAAATGTGGGTGAGAATATCAACCTACCACATGGGGAAGAAAAAAGGACAGCTGGAGGAAAGCTTAGCCCATTAATGTTTCATGGGATAAATCTGTTAAGACTGCAGCTATTGGTCCAAGTGCTTAATTTCCTTCATGTTACCAGTGTGGCACATGAAGACTAAATTTTCTTTTTTTACCATCTCCCATTTGGGAAATAAAATCCCAATAATACAAAACCCTTATTGGAAGCTGATGAGCAAATTGCAAAGAGATTGTAAATGGCCTTATACCTCTTACATGCTATCTGCCTTAACTAGTGGTAGATTACTTTGTTATAAGACAACAGTGAATTGTCTTCAATTCACTGAACAGCAAATGTGCCTTCTCCTGCTCTCCTTTCAGCTGGGACAGATCGTTACTCAGCACCTCTAGGACTCTAGCAGTGGGCACACAAGGACAGTGCAAAGTCCTCAGATGACAAAAGTGGCATTCAGTGGTACTTGAAATGTGTAATTCTAGGGTTAGATATCCTGAATACTCCAGGCAGTGTGGGAGAAGTTTGCTTCTGCCCACCTGAAAAGTCAAGCCTGGATCCCAGCCCCTTGGGAGCAGTGAGTGAGTAAAGGAAGAGACAGAAAACTAGATTGTTTGAGGGAGATTTCATACCACTTCCCTAAGTGTTGCTATCCTGTCCAACAAACTTTAAACAGTATTATGATGCTTGGGCAGCAGAATTGTCATACTCTTTCAGTATCTGAGTCCTGAAAGATTTGATCAACATCATATATTACTAATGATAATGAACAGTCCTAGGAATCTGAGAGTTAGAGGTTGCCTACACAACAAAACCTGCAGGATTGTCATTTTCATTGCAGCTTTCTTCTTCTTCTTCTTCTTTTTAAATATATATATATTATTCAACTCATCAGACATTTGAGACTGGAGAGGACTCACAGTCCTCCCACTTCCATTGTGTGACCAGGTGCAATCTGACCACAGAATTCAGGTCTGAAGCCCTGCCCTGCATAGCCAGATATCTAGAGAAAATTGGCATTTGTCTCTGTGGAGCCAGATTCAAAAACACTAGGGGCCACAGGTGTTCAGGGGCTCTGAAAGAACAGAATTATGACTTCACCATACAATCTTGGAGAGAACTTGCAAAGTGAATAGGTTTGGGTGTGGGTTTGCACATAGCAAAGGAGAGGAAAGGAGTAGTTATTTAATGGCTTTTTAAACTAATCAATTTTTTGTATCTTCTTTCCATTTACAATACAGATTCTTTCAAACTGTGATACAGATGTTCAACAATTATTTTCCACATTGTCTAAGTGTTCATCTAAGTCTTCTAGTGTTTTTCCCACCCTCTGGTTGGACGAGAGGCTTTTTTCAACAAGTGAATTAAGAGGGGAAAATAACAAATAATAAACTCTTACATGTGCACTCTTGACCTAGATCATCTAAAAAGAAATTTTTACAACATCTATGACTCAGATGTTGTTTCTGAACAAAAACCTGGTAAAGGTGTAAAGATAATCAAACCAAAAATGTCCTGGAGATCAAAGTGTATGTTAGTGTATAGCAGAGTTCAATATCGCAGTGTTCACCTGGCCCTACTGCCTAGTAGGTGGCAGTTAGGGGTGATACCACGTATCCATAAGGACAATTTGACCTGTCTTGTTTTGCAGTCATCCCCTCCCCCAGAAACCATGATGAAGAGTGCTATCAGCAGTAGGTAATCAAACTTTGCTGACACAGTGATGTGTCTGACTACAAGACACGGATTCTTAATTTTGTTCAACCAGAACTCAGGTTCTAACTTGAATTCTTTGCTTCCTTTGTCAAATCCAGTAGCTGTTAAACTTTTTCAATAGAGAAGCCTCAGCTGACAAGAAAACCAGAAAAGCAATCTGTAATACTAATAACACCATCAGTAGGACAAGGAAGAGAGGGCATGAGCTCTGGAGTACAGTGCGAAAACTACCACACCGTGTATGTCTTCAGCAGGTGTCAAATGGCAATTATTTTCTCACATCACTGCGTGTTCTTCCTTGGTTCATAGTATGTTATTCATAGTTTTTTGAGTAATATGGAAATTGCATACACAAGGTCATATTAAACGTAGGGTTGGGCCCATGGCTCAGAGATATATCATCTCTGTGAGGAAGTCAGAGAAAAGAGCTTGAAGAGACAAGTAGGTACCCATTCAGTCTGCACAAACAGCCATCACACAGGTCTGTGTTCCCAGCATCTGAGCCTCAGCCAGGAGATCCCTATGTAGACTTCTCTGGAAGAGCAATAAATGCACACTCTTATAGCACTTCTCATGGCTATCCATGGAACAGGTGGCTGCAGGACAAGATATGGGTGTTTCAATCTCTGCTCCATAGTTGTGAATTTTTATTTTTTATTTTTTTCAGTTCAGTAGCAAGTTGTAATACTCTCTTGTTAAATATCTCAATGCAGGCGAGATCATTCATCAAACATTTCTAGGCACTTCCTGTACAATCTTTAAAGAGGCTGGACTTTGCTTCTTTGCTTTGAAAGAACATCCTTGGGTTAGTCTGTCCCTTGGGACATCTTCCTTCACATGTGTAGCATGAAGCACAAAGTGGCCTCTGGAAGCTCTAGTGGTCCAGAGTAACATTAATAATACTTAGGTGCCAACTTCACAAGAACACCACTTGGACTCCTTGGCTGGCACTGCAGCAAATTAGTCTGGTGGTGAATGGAGCTGGAACCAGAGATTTAAAGACTCTTCTGCCTGAGGATGGCCTTAGTCTGTCTCAGGATGCAGGGAGGTACATTTGGCATTGAAATTTGGGAGAATCTGTGCAATGGCTCTGTTCACTGCCTCCATGGAAAAAAAGAAGGTTCCAGAGTTGTCTGTGTCAAGCCTTCCACAAATATGAGCTGCAATTTAAAACACTAAACATTACTTAGAGTAAGAATAATAATGACTAACAACCTTATGCTAAAGCTGAAAGGCTATGTAAGTTTAAAACAATTACTCACTTTCATGTGCTGGGCAGGAAACAATCTCTTTTAGATATACTAAATAGTATTATTTATGTAGTCCTGCTGGTAATAACTTTCTGCACTTAGCTACGAAAAGAAAAGAGGAAGAAATCGGTCCAGAGAATGTTGCAATTTTATTTTTTTTAGGACAACTACCAAAGAAGGTGAAAAGCCCACAGCATGCCACAGTATTACATGCTCACCTCCCCCAAACTTCTCTATGATAAAACAAATACAAGCTGCTGCAGTTGATTCAGCTAAGCTAGTGTCCTGTCAAACGGGTTTAATGAAAGAAACAACTTTAAACAGATCATTGCCTAGTCACTAAAATGAATATTACTGCTTGTGCAGAAGTATTCTCCTTGTTTTATGTACGTGGAGCCAGAAGTGGTGGATTGTATTCCTATTGCACCCATGTTTTACTTCAATCCCTGGCCAAAACTCTGCAATTTTTCTTTCCCATTCTTAAACGTGGAGGGATGCTCTCTATCTATCAACAGAAAGCACTTTGGAGTCTGTGCATAAAACAAATCAATACCAATTCTTTGTATTATTATTTAAGTGAAATAGGTTTAATATAGCTGCTCTTATTTACATGACTATGGAGATGACTCTTGTAAATAAGGGCTCTTTTTATCATTGGTTTGCCTTAGTTCTGTAGCGATATAACAGAACGCACTTCACTTCTGTAAAGCCTTCTCCAACAGAAGCTGAGATGACAGCGTAAATGTTAAAGTATTCGTTTCTTATTTGAGTGCTAGCTAGTAATTGCAGCATTCAGACGAACACTTCCTCTTTTTTATATTGGAAACAATTATAGGAAGGGGACAAAATGACATTCACTGGTTCAACTTCACAATCTTTCTCTTTTTGGCCAAGCCTACAAACGAATTCCTAGGTACCAATTAAGTGAAATGCTGTGTGAAGTCACAAAGATGCACGCGTGGCAAACATTGGGTCAGCTCACTGCCTGTCTCTGAAAACAAAGAGGTAACCACATGCTGGGATCAATGGACTCCAAAGGGGAACTCCAAGTTTTCTGGATAATCAGCGGTCCCATAGAGAAGATTCACTCCCAGAGAAGAAACATTTCAGGTAGTGGCTGGATGACAAATGTGTTTTCCTTTCTCATCACCCCGCACGCAGCTGTTAAATATGTTTATTAGCAAGCTCAAATGAGTTATTTCATGTGTATCGAATGCGGTCTCCCTTAATTGCATTTCTTTTAAACACTGGACACTCTTCTGAAAGACTTAACATTTTAGCCTTATGAAGGTGAAAGTTGTAAAAACTTTATTTTGTGTTTCTGAGCAATGTAGATAGACCTAAAGATTTCATGAATTATCATGTGGTTGCCCATATCTGACTAATAATTAAATTGTAAAATTGCAGTTTCATATTAGGGTTAGTCTTTTCACCTGCTTCAAAAATTAAAAATCATATTTGGTATATAAACATACACAGAATATCCTTCTGATTGAATTTCAAGAGCATATCCAGGATTAAATGTTTTTAAGCACTTCTAATACTGTAGTCTATAAGAGGAACAGACACTTCTAAAGCAATGTTAAAAGTTGTCTTTCATAACTGAGTCAACAGATCATTTTTGTAATAAATTAAAGCAAGTGTTCTCAACTAGAAGAACTAGTGGCTGTTGGTATTGTACAAAAAATCATTCTAGTATCCAAAGGGTTATGGGTGGGGAGGGTCTGTTTGGTTTTGTTTCTCTTTCCAGGGAGATCTTTAACATTGTTTGATGAAGCTAGTTTCATTTGAGATTGTTATTGAAGATAAAGGCTTCTGTGTTCTATGGCTGCTTGGATTCTTCGTACATAATGTCCTAGTAATGTCACAGTGCTGCTGTATCTAGATCAAACCACTGTTTTAATTGTTTTCGTTTTCGTTTTTTTTTTTTTTTTTTTTTTTTTTGGCTTTTTTAATAAATTCTTTAATTTAAATACTTGAAAACTATGGTTTGCTTTAATGAGGCACATAATCAAAAAGGGCTTCTTTAAGTCCTTGCGATCTTGAAGATGACTTTAGTGAGAGTTGCAGCTCATATCTTGCTAGCTTCCCTTGTGACTTTGTATGTTTTAATAGTACTGTCTCTTAAATTGTCTGACCTATGACATTTTCATGGAGATTTAGGGAACTAAAAACCAAATTGAGGTAGTATATTCCTTCATGGAAGTTCATCTGAAAGCAAGACTGGTTTTTCCCTGAGATGTCCTGCCTTCCTTACCTCCCCTGCCTTCCTCTGCAGTACGAGACTTCAGCCAACACAACTCTTTATGACCTTAAAAATAGTTTGAAGGAAAGGATGACAAAATCACTAACAGGGATGCGGGCTGCAGAAGTCATGAACTATTTTTTGAAGTTGTACATTGTCTGATTTATGAGGCCCTACAAAGGGTTTTGTCTAAGCTCCAATTAGGCAGAGGGAAAGTGTTTAGAGAAAGAAAACAACAACCATCAAAATGTGCCCTTCGGTACTCTGTACGTAGAGGATCTAAAACAAAGACAAAGTAGCTGCAAAATCACTAAAAGGAAAGTTGTGCTCCGCTTTTTCTTTAAGAGAAAAAAGACAAATCTTTCAAAGAAGTATGACGAATATTTTTATGAGCCTGCTAATGGCAAACAGTGTTTGCATCAAGTTTCATGAAAGAACATTGTGAAAACAGATTATCTGCATGAAAGCAGCTACATCCAACAGCTATACTCAGTAAAACCTAAGGTAATAGACTACACAAATTCAGGTCATGCATATTATCGCTTTCCAAACAAACCAAGCCATTTTTCACAAGATTTTAACAATCTGAGAGAATGTGAGATGAAATTTTATTACTTCTCTAACAGTTCTTGGTGGGTTTGTTCTCTCTGTATCTTGATGTCCTCTCCGTACAGCAACATGTTGCCTCTTGAGAGATGTAATCTTCCTTAGATTTTTCCACTATCTCTGGCATGAGATGTTCAGCTTCTCAGAGAAAAGTCATTACACTATTTTGAAGGAAATCCAATTAAAAAAGAAAAAAAAAAAAAAAAACACATGTCAACTTTTTGAATCCCTTAGAGGGCTTTGCAGATGAAAAATACCATAAATGGGCCTGACTCTGCAATTTCAAGTCCATGGGAGAGGAGACAATACAACTTTCTGCCAAGTCAGTGTCTAAATTTTTGGATTTTGTAATTCTATTTCATATCTGGTATAGAGTAAATGTCAAAAATAAAATGAAAATAGGGCCTATTAACAATTGGTGCTCTGGCTTGTTCTGAGTGGAGTAACTCTGCTACAGATGCTGAGCAGCTTCAGTAGCCCATTTAGAGATGCTTGGTTAAACTTTACCTCATTTTCATATGTAATTTTTAATTACAGTTTATCACTGTTAAATTGTTTCTTAATTAAAGGAAAGGGGGTTCCTCTGCTGTGAATAAACTTCAGCAGCATCCTAACAGTGCAGGCCTCCATGTATCTCTGTTAGCTTTTATGGCAGAGGCTTGGCATGCCATAGGGATGCTCCAGACCTGCTAATCTGGGGTCATTGCAGTGTAATAAAGATGAAAATATCAGAAGCAGGGAGGCAGGTAGGTTGCTTTTTTAAAAAAAGCTTGCAGATGATAGAAAATGAGTTGCCAAACTAAGTTTTAAAAGCACACATTCAAAGGTGCAAAGCCACACACTTAAATGCAAGAACGAAGGTTGCCTGTATTCCATTAATGTCATTCCCTTGTCTTTATGCACTGCTATTATTATGCCCTCACATAATAATATGTTATTATTATGCATTCAATCCCAGAAGAGAAACTAACCTCTGGCAGATTTACAATGAAAACCAGATGCATCCTCTCTATGGCATCTGCTAATACATTATGTGTGTCAGACTTTCATTTAAGTCTAAAATAAATATTTTCCTCCAGGGAAAATCTCACCTAATTGGCTGCTCCCCTCCATTTGCAGTGGTAAGGCAAACTGTGAATTCTGAAAAAATCATTTAGGATAAGTACATACTGCTCTCTCCCATAAGCAAAGGGCCAAGAGCTTTTGGTATCCCATCTCTCTTCATTTAGATGCTATTGATCCCAAAATTGGGAAGGGGATGTGGAGTGAATCTGACCTGTTTCCTTTCCCTGCTGGTGTGCAAGCTCTTGGTTGTTATTAGGGACTGGCAGGAGGAATGAGAGAGATTCCTAAATCTGTCCTCTCCTCTCCACATATATTCACTCCTACACTCTGCTTCCCTGCTCCCTCACCTTTCTGGACAGATGAAGACAAAGACAGAAACACGAAGCCCAACAGCTGAGGAGGCAGTGCAGAAGAAGAAATATTCCTACAGGTGAGTATTGGAACAGGGAAAATACAAGCTGCAGGTGGGACAACACACTCTTCGAGGCAGCTTCAAGGGTGCTGAAGAAATGGGAGGAACAGGGAGGTAAGTGTGGTGGAGAGAAGTCAGTGCCTGGAGGGATGAGATTGGGTCAGGGATGTGGCTGCACTACTGCTCGGGACGGAACTGGTGACATCTGGAAGGCAAGTAGAAGGACACGGGAGAAAGGAAAATGCTCCTTGCATCTTTTGAAGCATTTGGTTCCCCCATTTAATGGGCATGGGTGTTCTGCACCATCAAACAGCCTTTGAAAATGGATTAGAAAGTAGGTACCTTTTGAAAGGGAAAACGGGTGAGGGGTGGCATATTTATGGGGATAAAGGAACTTCCATTTCCTTTCATGCACTGCAGGTATACCAAGCGCACTACCAGCAAGTGCACACAGTGCTAAGGCTCTCACTCTCACATTGCTCCCACCAAGAAAGAGGAGTCTGATGTGTCCCCATCATCCAAAACTACTTTTATTAATGTATATATCTGCAGACAGGGTTTTGTGCTTGGGTTTTGGCAGAAAGCTGCTGCTGCCAGTCTTGCTGTTGCTCTATTCTGCTGGTAGGAATTTGCAAATCGATATATTCATTACCTAATTTTTCCAGCTCCACTTACTTGTTAACTCATATTGAAAAATCTGAAAGTAAAGAAAGAAACATCAGCTCAAATTAACACTGTAATGATAAATTTATTGCCAGTTATACTACAGGCAGTAGTCATGTTTTTTAGAAGCTTGAAATAGTTACCCTGCTTTGGGCCTGGTCCTTGGTCGGTGCTCTGTAGAATTAAACACTGACATTTCATGTAATTGAAAAATGTAGCTGCAGCTGGTGTTGTATACTTAAATAACCACTATAAGCACTAAAATACGATAAACAATTTGAAGCTCAGATTACATTGAGAATTTGCTATGTTGTCCTCATATTTACAGCAGGAAAGTGGGAAGGATCCTACCTTCATAATTACTTCTATAATTCTCACTTAAATGTAGCTTTCTTTCCTCTTTGCCCCCGTAGTTCTTTTTAAAGGTTTGTGAGCCTACACATGAAACCATAATGGCTGATCAGATTAAAAATAAAACTTACATCTGTGTTTGCTTTTACATACATCAGACACTGCTACAATGATCCACCTGGTGATTGCACATGGCCACAAAAGAAAATCAATCATTTCTCATCAAGTATTTGCATCCATACAAAACATCACCAGAAATGAAATAGGTCAAAGTGATATGATAAAAAAGCAAGACTTAAAGCAAGGAAAGTAAATTGACAGGACACAATAGTGTTTTTTTTCAGGTTAGCTAACAGAAATGCACATTACCAATAAGAAACCAATCTGTTCCACTGATGATAATCACATTTTTTTTTAAGGCAATTTAAGAATTCAATAATATGTGCATGCATTTCAAATGCTGCTCTGTGTGTGTAGTAATTTAAGACTATTTCACAATTTCACTGATTCTTTGAGGAAAATAATTGAAAACAAAAATATGTAATGTCAATCAAGAACACAATATGAGAGAACATTTTGTCCCACAAACATATTTCTGTGTCAGATTGAACTAACACACATGAGCTACTTAAGTCAGAACAGTGCTGAACAGGAACAATTCTGCGTTTTGAGGACTTTAGGAGTAGCTGTAAACAGCTCCAGTATTATTTTTTTTGCACTAACGCTTCTAGGGGAGCAGCTATGTGCATTGTTAAAATGTCCAAGAAGTCACCCTTGTAGAGGTCCAGGACTTTCTGGGTTTCCTTTGGATCACTGTGCTCCATCACTTTCTTGTTGTCTTGGTTTGCTGGGCTGCAGGATTCTTCTGTCTCCTTGCTACGCCCAATCATTACCACGGCACTGCAGCTACTTCTGCGCCGAGATCCTCTGCGGGTGAGGAAGGGGTTCTGGTTCTTGTCAGCAAATACTTTCGTCTTCCTGTTGGACCTCTTACTCTCATAGTTCCTGAGCTCCATTAGCCTCTCGTTGAAATACTCCTGCAGTGGTTTGTCACGGAAGCCGCTGCTGGTTGCTGGGTTGCCTTTCAAGTAGCCTCTTGAAGAGGCCCCCAAGCAATGGGGTAATGAAGCTTTGTTTGGAAAGCTGTTTGGCTGTGATGAAGAGCTCTTTCCTTCCAAATCCTGGAAAAGTTGGTTGAAGGCTGGAGTTTCAGAGTAATTTCTTGATAACTGTTTAAAATAGGGGGAAGGGAGAGGCAGGGTTGGAGCAGAAGGGAGAAGGGAATCTGAATTAAATTGTGCTGGTTTAAGTAGCAAAAAATCTTAAGTTTATGCTTCCACACATTAAAGAGTTGTTATGGAAAATTTTAGGTTTTTAAGCTAAATTTATTGAATTTAGAATCTCCCACCTGCCTGTTTTAAGGGAAGTTCAGGTTTATCCTTTCCAAATCTCACTAGCCTGTAGCTGCTGTTTCCCATGATAAAAATGTATGATTTTTTTTTGCCCTTCTTTACTTACAGAACTGCAATTTTCACATATATTTCTACATCCTAAAACTACAAAGTTTACAGTTATTACCCTGCAGCATATCATAGATGTGCATGAAATTTTCCTTTCCTATCATAGGATGCCTTTCAGCCTGCTAATGAACCATTTTAATACTTCAGTTACTTGAATAGTTGAAGGCCTGATCCAGCCCCGTTGACATCAGAGGGTGTCTTTATGTTGATTTCAGGGGAACACCCGTGCTGTGAATCTTTTTATTGACTGCGAGGGAAATCAATGAGTGCCAAAAAAATTGCTAGAAATACAAGATTGCCTTTCCATGTCCACAATTAAATGTCCCCCGGGTTCTCAAAGTTACTGCTCTGCCATTTCCATCTTCCTCACACTTACTCCAAGACACCCCAGCCTGTCTCAAGCTAGCAGAAACAACAGCTGGTTTCTGTTTGCCAAGTTAGACTGGACCATGGCTTTTTCTTTGCAAAATCTTAGCTGTTCAGCTTGAAGGAAGAACTGCTTTGAATTATATTACTGTTTCAAATCAATAAAAACTTTACTGTATGTAGACAATAACCTTTCACAGCAGGACCACGGAGCATTTTGCACTCATTTATTATGTCTGACAATGCCTTTGGTATCAAGAAAATGATCATTCATGCAGTTTTTCACAATTGCTCATTAAGTCTAGATACTTGCTAATGGTTCTGCCACAAATCTGGCTTCAGAGCCCAGCAATGTCTCAGCAGGGCACTCCATCATCAGCTTTTGGCAAGTTGCCTACTAGCGATGAATGAAAAACATTGAGTACAAACCAGGAATAGTAGGTTGGACTTGACATGTAAACTGAAAAGTAATCAAGTTTTTGATCTCTCTCTATTCCATCACATTCTGGAAGGGACCCAGCAAAACTAATGATCCTGCCTAGAGTGATTGTGCTTTTGGAGTAAGTTAGGTAACTGCAGAACACTAAAACTTGACTAAAAAGTAGTCTCTCCTTCCTAATTCAAACCTTAAAAAATATTTAAAAATTCCTGAATTGATAATGTATCAGAGTATAACTCTTTAAAGTTCTGCTTTTCTATACCAAAACATAGCCCCAAACTTATTATCATATCAAATATCAATTTACCAGGAAACAGGGAAATAACTCTAAGAGCAGAATAGGTAGTAGTTGCCATACATTTCAAAGAGAGTTTCTGCATACAAACCTTAATGTCTTGGAAGCCTGGGTACTCTGGGATGATGGGCAAGGTACACATGCTAACACTGTTTGACCGCCTTTTTTTCATCGCCTTACGAGAGCAAGTGCAGTTCCTGGAGAGATGAGCTTGTCCCAGGTCAGCTGGATTTTCACTGAAATTGAATGTTTTACAGTCTTTTATGTAGCAACTTCTCAGGCACATCACTGAGGCAGGTCCCTCCATTTCAATGTGAGTCAGGAGCGTTTAGAAGCAATCTGTATTCCAGAACAATTCCCTCCCTAGTTTCCCTCTAATGCATAATCTCATAGCAGCGAGTCCCTTGACAATCCGTGGGGCTGAGTGCCGGCAGATGCAGAAGACCAAGCTGACAAAGCTCTGAGCAGTACGTCTCTTGTGCAACTGGGTTCTTAGAGATCACAAGCAAGCGATGCCTTCACTGAAGTCTGAAGCTCTCAAGCCATTAATGCTGCTTTTATCCTCTGAAAGCTCTTCACAGGAGGCTGGTAAATTCAGACCATGAACATAAAGGGCTCAGGTGAGGAGGGATTTGCAGGGATTACAAAGCTGCACCTTCTGTCAATAAAGTCTCACGCTGTCCTCTCAGACAGCCTAATGTGACTGCTGACGCAGCAGCAATTAAAGAAGATCAACAGCCTGCACGCAAGAGTCGTCGCTTGGCTTACATTGGAGCAGGCAGATCACTGCCTTATGGCTAGGGGCTCCACGATAAAAAAAAACATTAAGGGTTTTGGCCCAGACTAAAGGTGAGTAAGTCAACACAACCAACAGTTCAAGAAAGATAGAGTGGACAGCTATAATTAAAAATAAATAAATAATTCTTCCAAGAAATTCTATGCCTCTAGGCATCCCTGGTGTGCTTGGAGGGGGGCTACAGCCCTGGAGATCTGAGGAGATGCCCCAGCTGCCTTGCTGTTTGTGTAGCCATGGCTTGTACAACTAGAGAGGGATGCGTGGCCTTCAAACAGCCTGGCTCCAGCACCAGCTTGGCAAGAGACCATGGTAAGAGCAAGACTCCTTTCAGCCAAAGCCATGAAAATATTCAAAGCAAGAAAAAAGAGCTGCTCTGAACTGCTCACAACCTAAATAACACGGAGGAAAGGTAAGCAGGGAAACAACTCCATAGTTTTTATTTACAGATACTTGAGTGGTATCATCACTAGAAACAGATACATTATGCAGTTGTAGTAACTGGTGAATCTTTAACTGTGGCAGCACTGGGCTGCTTAAAGCCCACAGCACCAGAGGATGTCTCCTGCCACTGGGAAGGCAGCAGCTCCCTCCAGTGCCCCACTGCAGCCAGCCTGCATGCAGAGCGTTGGTGGTGAAGAGGCAGAAGAACTGCCTCTTCTCCATCACATGCCAGGGAGTAATTGCTGTGCTCACCAGTGCTTGTGAAAGGTAGCCAGAGAGGGGATTTACACGCTCTGAATACGTGCATGTAAATATATCCTGGCTGAGCTAGAAATCCATATCCATCCATGGTGTCCATAAATATTTGCATCCATGTATTCAGAGCACTGACCGTGAGCTGTAAAGAGCTTTGGATCTTGTCCACGAGACCATCAGCAGGATTTGGGTTACTGCTCCAGCCTGTCTGGCAGATGGCAGCTTGGCAGGCTCAGGGCAGAAGCCTCAGCAGCAGCGCCCACCTCACCGTGGGACAAAAGCAGGTCAGGCATAAGTAAAGAGCTCACGTAAACAGGTACAGCCACACCTCCCATATCCAAATGCACGCATGCAACATCACTTGTTATCAGCTCTGGCTCTGGCATTTTTGATTTGAGAGTACAATGATTCTCAGGCAGCTGTGAAAACCCTCAGAATGAATGACCATTAACAGTGACCCCCACACCAACACATCACAGGTCAGCGTCTGTGTCCATAGCTCCACATGAGCCACACACAAATTCAGATACGAGGCTGACAGAAAGAACTTGCATGTAGAGATGCCACAGTGCTCACAAAATAATAGCACATGAGTCATCTCTGATGCAGTCCTGATGACTTGCATTGTTGCATACATACTGGTACCTTAATATGTCAGCACAAAGTGGCCTTGCTAGTAGTACCTGAGAAAAAAATACATAGCATTAACAAAGCTTTCCTGGTGGAATTTATCATGAGAGGAAAAAAAATAAAAATAAAAATAAAAATAAAAATAAAAATAAAAATAAATAAAAAATAATCTCACCACCTTATTGGTGGGTTTATTTACCTTATTTACTATTCCTTCCCAGATGTCTCAGACAATCTCTGAGACAATGTTGTTTTTCAGATATGTTCCAGACAAACCTGGATCATTAAGTCACCACGGCCAGGCAGGAGGTGGGTCCTACCTGTGACTCTTTGTGCCAAGTCACCACATCCAAGTCTGAATTGCTTCAACCATGCAGAAACAAGCACAGTGTGAAATCTGACTGGTGGCAGAATACACCTTACCCTGTACAGAGAAGGGGCAGAAAAATAATCAAAAACAAACAAACAACAACAAACAAACAACAAGAAACAGAATCAAATTAATTTCACAATTTCACTAGTGACAGAGAGTTTTGTTGTCTCCCAGATCAAGGTATTCATGGTACTGCCCACAGCTGTCCTCTGATTCACAGAAATAAGGACTGTGCAAAATAGCTGCCATTGACAGGATTGCTTTAGGAGCTGTGATGACATCTTGTAGGTGTACAGGCCTTGCAGGGGTCCAGTAAATGCACCAGCTATTGTAGACATGGTGAAGAGTTTCCTCTTTCCATTTAAACTTGCAGCCTGAAAATCCCTCATTATCAAAATTCATTCCCTCTTCTCCACGGAAAGCATTTGCCTGGATGAAGTGAGACACCAGCAGCTTTTAATCTGTAATTGCTCATTGTGCTTAATGAACATGAGAATGTGACACAGAGTGTGCCGCTTGCGTGGAGCTTTACAAAGTGTCCCACGTTCCTGTTTTAATTGGAGGTTCTGGTTCTGCTCCCGCAGCCTAAAATCAGAGCTCACGGAGACTGCTCTTTTATAACCTCTTGTTCCTTCTTGTACCGTGTCATTACTGCATGCAGTGGGGCTAATGTACTTCTCTCATCAAGAAAGCTCTTTGTCCCTTTTAACATGAAACTTTACATTTTCCTTTGATCCTCGGGTGAAAAGAAACATGACTTTCAGCAATGTGTAGGTTTCAGTACTTACCTACCTTATATCTTGATGTTTTTACTCTATTAAAAAGTTGTGTTTTTTTTTTTTTCTTTCCTTTTTTATATAATGGATAGTTGCATTCTTATAGCATTCCTCATGTCAGATAAGCTCAGATTGTTTATCGCAGTCTGCAAGAGCAGGTTGTGGCCGTGAATCTCAGTTTTTCTGCCTTTGGAGTAAATCACTCAAAAGAAAAATCACGCAAGGAATTGTTTACATTTCTGTGACCTCTACTTTTGCTAAATATTTGCATTTTCTCTGCTCTCCCTTCAACAAGTAAGAACTGGTCTATTTTTATAAGGAACTATCAGTATTATAAGTTAGGTGAGTGATTTATAATTGCTAATTAATCTCAAACTGCAAGAGATAAATTTGGTTTCTGAAAGTACCACCGAATGACACAGATAATACAAGTCCAACTCCAAAACTGGATGTGGGGTCTAAAACCAGACCCAAGAGCAGGTTATAGATAGATTGTGCTACACTGTTTTATAACTAAGTAAATTTCCTTGTGGCAAAAAGAGATGTTATGCTTATTTAATGTTAATTTCTATCAATGTGATGACTGTTTCCTAGTTAGAGATATCTAACTTGTGTTATGAAAGTACCGAGTAACTCCCAGAGTATTAGCTTCATGAAGCTACCACACTTTGAAGGTTACAAGAACCTCCTTCTCCACCATTTACACCAGAGTAACTTCTGCAACTGCGATGTGCTGACCTCTTACTGACGTTAAGGTACCTTATGTCCTTTCATGCCCAGAACCAGGCCTTTTGTCAAAGCAGCACCCAGGTCAGGCAAATGTGGTTTTCCCTTCTCTTAATGGTCAGAGTCCTGAATCTGCTGCTCACTGTGTTCTGGGTCATGCACTCAGTCACCGCACACTCCCTGTGACCACATTTGCCACTAATTCAAGACTAATATTTGTTTGTATTTCCTTGCATAACATTGTTTCTAGTAGTTCAATACCACTGGCATTCACCCCATGCCTCGTCCTTGCTTTGTCCCTGTGGAGCATGCAGCAGGCAGAGCAAGGCTGCTGCCGTACCCTTCACCTGCCAGTCCAAGGCTGCTTTGGCTGACAAAAATCCCCAGTGTGGCAGGTCTGGTAACTGCTGGAGGATCGATTCCTTTCATGGAAGTGCAGCTTCTCAGATCTGTGACATTTTCCTTCTGAGAAAAATAATCTGCAGGCTGGGAAGGAGGGGAAGCTGGACCTCAGCTGGTTCACGAAGTGAAGGACTGGTTGAAAGGCCCATGTGCTGAAAATATCATGAGCCAGACCCTAAAAACAGCATAGAAAGTTGAAAACGTGATGTTTAATTCATTTTCTAGAGGTAAGATCAATCAAGGGACATTTGCTGCTGTTTGTTTTCAAATTAAACCTGATGTTTCCATCTAATTCCCTGAATCGAAGTGCTGCAGCTCTGAAAGCTGCCACAACGTGCAAGAAAATCCAGAAGGAGGGGAATGCTGCTGCTGTCTTGTGAGACCGGGTGTGTAAGCAAACTCAAAGAGAGCAAAGTGAATGTACTGAAACCTCTCTGCCTTGCTCTTAAAGGGATGTCTCTGCTGCGGTACACTGTCCTGTATGATAAACATGCTCAGAGCCAACAACAGTCCCACCGAAATAGCCCACAGCTCAGCAAAACCATTGTGAGCTGCTGCATAAACCAGAGCTTAACTTTCCTACATTGAGCTGACACTGAGAGCTCCAGTATGAGGTGACGTAAAGCCTCTAACTTTTTTGTCAAACTGTGAAAAGTACTGATTTGTAGCACTTCAGAGCAGAGACAGGGAAAGCCAGCAGCCCCAGATCCTCAGCTGCAGGGGAGCAAAAGCAGTGCTGCCTGTGAGCAGCCCTCCCCAACCCATGGGAGGAGGGGAAGGGCTCTCTGCAGCCCCCGCAGAGCCTTGCCCTAAATGTGCCTCCAGCTCCAGCAGGACACACGCAGCCCACGCTCCTGATGCTTATTTGGCCCCCAAGAGGCCTGAAGCAATGCAGAGAGGTGGGAAAGAGGAGCGAGCAGCGCGCCAGCCCCGTCACTTACTGACCAAGGAAATGACCAGGCTTTACCAGTAAGGGAGTGAGGTATGTCATGAAAAGAGAAGCGATGAGCTGCGCCTTGCCCAGACACCAGGGGTGGCAGTGTGGGAGCAGAAGTAGAATTGCAAAATGTTGACTCAAAATTTATGGCTTCTGAGGTCACTCGGTTCCTCATTTCAAAAAGGTTTTGGTCTAGCCCTAAAAAGAAGCCTGAGCTGTATCGCTGCTTCTGCATTCGGACTTCCCCCAGGTCTGGCTGGTATGACTGTGTGTCTTCTGCCCGTACCTCCCCTCCGCTTGCAAAAAAGGCAGCGTGTGTGTGTGTGTGTGTGTGTGTGTGAGTCTATACACCCATTTTACTTGGCAATCAAACCTCTGACTCGCACTCTTCTGACCTCAGACCAAGTTCCACGCATCTCTTGCCCTTTATTAGATGGCTAATACTCTTAAAAGAAGAAACAGATGGCACCCGTCTGCAGATGTCAAATGCTTGCCTCACATGGCATGTTTACTGCTGGATTTTCACCAGACTCTTGGCCCACATAGTTAGGTTTTTGTCTTAATCACCAGCTTCAGACCTGGAGCAAACATTCACTGGCTGGGTTGAGCCACAATTACATTTCTGCCTCTCAGTGCTTCTGGTTATTTTTTAAAAACGACTGTACAGGAAAGGGATTAGGGGTGCTTAGAGTTCAGGAAGCAGAGCATTAAAATCTGAAGTTAAAAAAGAGGTTGACAAGGAATAATGCATGCAAGAGCTGCACTCCTGGGAGAGGGGGTGCAATCTAAGAGCAGAGCCACATGAAGAGAAGGTCCACGTTTCTCAGGACATGTGAAGTGGACTTGGGAGCACGTTTTCACTGTGGGTGTCCATGATTATCACTCTGATTTGTACTCTGCTGTCCTTCTGGACAAACTTTGCCATGTGAGTATCTCGCATGGAGCAGAGAGGTGTGGCCCTTCGTGTCCTGGGGTGAAGCAGCTCTGAAGCCATGAGGTTTGCCGCTGCATTCCCCAGAATGAGGATCTCCGGGCCTGTCTGTCTTTGTCTCTTTTCCTGTTTCTGTCTGAGTACATTTCTGAGCTTCCTGGCTGGGTGACTGGCAGCACAAGGAAAGTGCTCGTCCCTCTGGGCCAGCAGTGCTCACTGTGGAGTGTCCTTGTGCCTGCCTGTGTTAAGGATGAATTCACCTGAACCTGTTGACCCCGATGGGAGTTTTGTAGCACATTTACCACACTCCACGTCTTCCAGGAAAGCACTCTATAACGTATAAAAGCCACCTCCTCCTTCTGTGAGGGCTCACAGGCAGCCACAGGTGAGCACTTAATGACAGCACTGACACTGCCAGGTGTTTCAGAAGCATTAAGCTAATGCGCTTACCCCACAGTGCCTCATCTGCCCACCTTTATCCCATTGACACTTCTAAAGCAGGAGGGGGAATTAGCAGGGTAGAGAAAAAATAGAACAAAAGTCATATTAAAAGTCATAATGTGGCGACACGGGGATTGCTCCACCAGATACATTCCTTTTGTTTCTGTTCTCTACCTGAACTGTGTTGAGCTCCAAACCGAAGAATTTAACCACGCTGAGGCAGTGTCAGAGCCTCCCCACGTTCAGCTGGGGGCCTCAGCACGCTCAGATCTGCAGTATTTTTGTCCTCTAGCACTCACCATCTAGGGATGTTGCTTCCTGGGGACAAAATAAGCTCCAAAACATCAGAGCAATGAAGAGCTGAGAGCTTTATCAGCTGCACAAAGTGACGTCAGCAATGCAGGACAAAAAGAGGGGAAAAGAGTACCTTCTGGCATCCCTGTATTTGTAGCTGTGGTAATTGAATCTCTTTTCGGAAAGTGCATAATAATCTACAAAACACCGGTGTTTTCTTGCCTCACCTCCTCACAGCTGTTCTGGTTCCCTACCTGCTTTTTTGCTCAGTGGTATGTATTTAATTTTCCCTGGTGCCTACATGCTGTGCTTGGTAACAAGCCCAGGTACCAACACACCGTATCCCTTCCTCCCATCAGCTCCATTCCCACTGAGTTCCCTCCATCTTCCCTCCACACTCCGCCTCCTGGATCCTCTCTCTTCACACACAGACAGACAAACCTGACTCCCCACCTCAGCTTCTGCTGCTCTAACAAGCACTCCATCTCATCCATCCTTGCCACAGTTGGCCAAGACCTGTAAAAAATAGTGACAAAGAATGAAGTTAGCAGTATGGGAGCTCAGTTTTAATACTCCACCTCAGCATGGCTGTCTGTAGACATTGCTTCTATGAAGAGGAAAGCAAAGAGAGATTAGTATTGACATGTCCCATCAGTGATAGCAGGTGGATACTCTAAAAAGTGATGCTCTTTTTCCCCAGGTATATATGCACTGAGTGCCTGGCATTCTGCACATCCTGGAAACAGCTCTGCTGCAGCTCTCTCTCTCTTTAGACAGAAGCTAATAGAGGGCAATCTGTGGTATCAGGGCAGTATTTACAAGTCAATGAAAGCCCATCCATGATGTCAACTCTTATCAGTGCTGTCACAGGCAGAAAATGAGAGTCAAGAGCAAGATCAGCAAACCCAGGTTGCTTTCCTTAAGACTGCTCCCTTTGTATCCAGAAAAATGTCATTTCTGGGACAGTAGTGCTCTATTTCCTGCCTAGCTGGAGCAGGAAGGCATCGGTTATGCCTGCTTTCTCTGTTAGTGAGCAGGAGAGCACTTTCAGAGAAGATCATCAAGACTATCATCTCTCTTCATTTCCCATTCCCTCCAGATAATTTTCTACAGAAAGTAGAAGATCCCCTGTGCTAAATCCTTGGGGAAAGGAGTGATAAAAGAGCAGCTGGAAGCCAGGAAAAAAAAAAAAAAAAAAAAAAAAAGTATTAAATTCAGGCAGCTCCTCTGTTCCATGTGGATTCTGTTTTGCTTGAGTTATCATTGAGGCCTGTGAGACTGTATGGATAACAACTGAACACAGGCAAAATCCTTCAGAAATATCCCATCTTGGTTTACTCCTTTCCTTCTAACTGTCCCCTGTGCTGCTAAGTTGCTTTGCCTTGTCTCTTGTGACCTCAGCTGGCTCTGTGGGATCCTTCTACCAGCTACAAGCCTTGAAACGGGGGCTTGAGGTGGTGTTTCAGCTCCAGCATGCCTGAGCTACACCCCCCTCTCCTCACAAGCCACATCTGTGGCCCTTCTGCTGCCCAGGTCGGCCAGAGGTGAAGCTCTGCTTACAAACTCACCTGTCTGGAAGCACTTTCAGACATCATCTCCCAACAGCCAGCACTAAGAAAACCTTTCCCCGTGGTTTACAAGGGGCACTCTGAGCAGCTCTGTGCAGGCAGGCAAGGATGCAACACCCCTTGGTGTTCCCAGGATGTGAGGGGAAACCACACCTGGCCTCACAGCCTGAGAGACACGGGGCTGTCACAGGGATCACCAGGCCATGGATCACCAGGTAAAGGATCACCAGAGCTCCCTCTGCATCCCAAAGGCACCCTGCACCCCATCTCCTGCAGCCTGGGCGGCAGCACCATGAAGTGTCCTGCTGCTGCTGCTCCTCAGCTTCTGCCATAGGGCAGGGGGGAACCCAGGAAGTAGAACTGCTGCTCATGCAGGCTCCTGCTGTCTGCAGACCACACAAACCTCAAAGCAAAGCAGCGTTCTAAACCCAAAAAAGGTTTCCAGCTTGGCATGAGGGCTAGGGTTAACTTCTTCTGGGGCACAGGAGGTATCACAGGAAGGTGCTGGCAGGATATTTAAAATTGTCTGTTCTTTTTCTTTTTCCCCCCTTTTTTTTTTTTCCATTACTTAGCATTCAGTGAGGCTTTAAATGTCACCCATCTGCCATGATTCTGGCTGAGATTTGAGCACCGCTCTCTTATGACTGTTTTCCAAGATTTTATGTATAAATGATGGCCATGAGGCAGAAACAACCTTCTGCCTGCCAGCACAGTGAAGAGGGCATTTAACAAAATCCCTCTTTGCCTCCAGCTACAATTTTAGGGACTGTTTAAACCTCTGAACAATCCCAGCACTAATGTAGCAGTGGAGATTGTATCTCTGGTTTCTGTCAACTAGAACATTCTTATCTAAGATAGGTCCCTAAAATGCAAATCTATTAATGGTGTTATTTTAATGAAACCTACAGCAGATGCAAAAACTGTCAGCTGATTAAATCACATTTAAATCAGTGCTGTTGTCTGTAGAAGTAAATGTGACTCCGGCCTCGGTGGAACATGCGTTTGGAAAAGATACCTGGCAAATCCAGCCATGGCAGTGGCAACCTGCAGCATCTCCAGGCTCCCATTGATGACTCACTGCAAGGTAGAACTAAAGGTGCTTTTGCTGTAGCTCCATCTGTATCAGTATGGCTACAACAGGGGTAGACTGAAACTTTAGTTTTCAGTCTCACTTCAAAAATAAACAAACAACAATCAAACAAACAGAAAAAAAAATCCAAGCAGAAGTTTCTCTTTCTTTAAAGCATTCTTCGCAAGGCAACGGTCACTTTACTAGCCCCAAGTGTCTGCCCCATCCTCATTGCTTCAGTTCCCAAGAAGCTCACCAGCACAAGCGATGATTCACACACTTTCTGCGAAGCTTTCATGGTGTCGAGGTTCTGACTCGTATCTTCCACTCCGCGGGACAGTGTTGCTCTTGTGCTGTGATGGGAAGCTGGAGGCTGACCAAAGCCCTGTTAAATGGTGCGGCTGTTGGAGAGGCGCAGGCTCGGACGGCACCGCTGGGGAGCCTCCCTGTCTTGCAGGGATTTTTTCCTCAGGGTTGCCTGAGGTTCGGCACTGCCCCTTTGAACCAAATTATTTGGTGAACTAAGTGAGCCAGACAAGTAATATAGTATGTGGGAGCATCCTTCTAAATTCAAGGGTATGATGTGACCCATCTGTTCTGACTGTGCTTTAACTTCTGGTAGATCTCTGAAGAACAAGGGCTGTTTTGTACATACTAGTTTAATATATCGCTTCACTTCTGGGGATGAAATCCCCATCCTGAAAGAAAGGACAGCCTTTGTTTAAGTGATTGACAAGGAATCCTCCTCTGTGTCATGCCTGGCCTTTTTCATGCTGAAAACGAATTACCTCAGAAATGCAGTAATGTAATCAAAGCTGCATACTTATTTACTTAAAAGGACTGAGGCTCACATCGTCTGCGATATCCAAAAGAACAGCAGCGCAAATGCTTTTCAGTCACTGGGGATCTCAGCAGAAGAGCTTATCATAAGTGGGTGTGTTTATATGTGCTTACGGACAAACATCAACTAAAATACAAAGAAGTCCTGAGGGAGCAGTTTCATACAAATATGTATATATATATTTTTTTTTTATTTTTTTTAAGAACAATACAGATTATTAATTACCAGGATAATACAAACAAGATGAGACTACTTATTTGTTACTCGTTCAGGTACAGAATAAAAAATGCCATTACCTTGTTGGTTTCTCTCTTTGAATCTATACCAGCTTGGGGGAAAGTCACCCAACTCCTTATGAGGCCTTCTGCTCCCACAGGAGCACGGCAGTGAGCTCAAGCATTAGTTACAACAAGCAAACAAACAAAACTGTGAGAACACACTGCATGTTGCGCTGAGTTTCCACAGCTCGCCTCATCTCCAGGATAAGGAGCTGGATGCTGAGGGTGGCCCAGGAGGGGCACAGCACATGGGGCTGGTTGTGTCCCAGCTGCCAGAGGGCACACGGGGAAGCATCTCTGTCCTACAAGGATAGATGGACAATGGCACTGCAGAAGGAGCTGGAATGGGTTTGAGGCAGGAAGCCATGCCGGGGTTGTGGAGAGGTGAAAGCCTGCCCAGGGCTGGAGCTATAGGTGAAGGAACAGTGTTGGACTGTTTGTGAGCACTGAGGTGACTCCTGGGCAGAGGCTAGGGAAGAAGCCAGAGAGGACAGCTGAAGATGTTTGGGCAGGAAGCACTGAGGTAACCCCGAGCATGGACAGGGCATCAGTTGTAGGTGAGGTGATGAAGTACCTCCAAGGGGTCAGCATCAGCATTCAGTCAGGAAATGCCGAGGTTCCTCAGGGAGCCGCAGCGCTGGCATTTTGGCAGGTCGCACCCTGCAGCAGTGTTTTGGTGGGAAAGGCTGAGGTACCTCAGAGGAGGGCGGTGTGGCACCATTTTGAGGGGAGGCACAAAGGTACCTCAGAAAGGGAGCAGCAGGAGGTATGGAGGGAAGCGGTGAGACACCTCAGAAAAGACAGTGCCAGCAGTTTGGCAGCTAAAAGCTGAGGTAACTTGGAGAAGATGGCGATGCTGTTTTGGCAGGAAACCTGGCAGCACCTCAGGGAGGGGAGAGCAGAAGGCCTTGGTGGGAAGCACTGGCAGACCTCGGAGAAGACAGCGGCAGCATTTTAGCGAGAAATGCTGAGGAAGTCGGAGAGGGCAGGCTAGGGTACGGCAGGAAATGCTGTGTTACCTCAGAAATGGGACAGCGGGAGGCTTTACAGAAACACTGAGCTGCTTCAGAGCGGGCAGCGTCAGTGTTTTGGCAGTTGACACTGAGGTGACTTTAGAGGAGGCGATGGGAACGCTTTGGAGGGAAACGCTGCGGTACCTCAGGGGAGGCTGTGGCTGTGTTCGCAGTTAGCGCTGAGGTACCTCAAAGCAGGCAGCTGAGGAGGGTTTGGGGGTGCTTCAGAGAAGGCAGCCTGTGGCAGGTTTGTGGGGAAGGCTGAGGCAGCTGAAAAAAAATAATAATAAATAGCAGCAGGATGGCTGTGACAAAATGGTGAAGTGCCTGAGAAGGTGGGACAGCATCCAGGTGAGGTGGAGTACAGCTGAGCATGGCATTTCAGCAGGAAGGGTGGGAGACACAAGGGGAAACAAAGAAATACTCTACAACTGAAAGGATAAAGAAGATATGGTAACAATGTGAAGGTACCATATGACACAGAAAAAGACTAAACAGAAAAAAAGAGTAAGAATTTTAGTGAGAAAGTTGAGGCAGATATGAATTATGACATGCTTTTGGCTCAGGTCACGGAGGAGAATCAGCTCAGGTCATGGAGGAGCAGCCTTGAACACTTGATGCCCTTTCTTCCTTTGCATTGGCAACCTCCCTGTAAGCAGAGCTTGGGACTTTGATGTTTCTTGTTGTCCTTTTGCTATATTGCTCCTTTGGCTTCCTGGGGAGTGAGAACCATGTAACGTACCAGTACAGGACCCTTCAGTTTGTGTCTGCTTTCCCTCAGATTTACTGTGGGGAGTAATCTTCATTAACGTCACAAATTGCTAATGGTAGATGTAGCCATGACTTCTTTCTCATCCACCATACAAATGACCAATTGTTATTGGTGTTTTGTTTTTTTTTTCTTCTCCTTCTTCTTCTTCTTTTGCTATGTAGACTACGGTTGGATTTTTCACAGCAAATCCATACACTTGTAAAGCAAAATTACCATCTCCCGGAAAGAAACAGAGAGATGTCCTTGAGATGTAAGCATTGTATTTCAACTGTACAAGGAAACAATTAAGACAGTACACGCTTGCAATAAGTACAGTAGGATCAGTCTTCAGGATGATCTCTCAGGGACTATGCCTTAGGAAAAAAAGGAAGTGAACCAAACTGTGTGGTGTTAACAAGACAGAAATATGATATTGCCCAAATCAGATTCAGCAAAACTAATTATATTGTCAGTCCTTGAAAGGCTCATGAAAAAGGTCAGTTTTGTGTCAGACAAGGAGTAGAATTACATCCAGTAATTCAGATCTCATCAGCATAGTGTCTGCACATAGAAATGGCTATTGCGATGGCCCAGTCGGAGTTCTGAGCTGTGGGCACAAATGTGAAACGTCTGTTTCTTTTCTCACCATGATAACAGTTCTTTTCCGTGCCTAGAAAATCTTTGTAGGTTATTAGTTGAGAACTATTTCTGAATTACGTAAAGCTACCAGACTGTCATTCCCCACTAACATGCTGCAAAACCAGTGGCAAATGTTGTAGAATTTAATCTTGTCTTTGTTGCAGTGATATTGCAGCTGTGATGATCCAAGCTAAGGATATAAAACCATATATAAAACCATGACAGAAAGGTTAGCAGTTGGAGTAAAACAATATATTATATCAGGCCAGCTCACATCATTGTGAAAAAAACAGACTTATTTCAAGGAATACAAGCTTTTGACTTTTTTTAGGGAGAAGTTTTGCAGGGAGCATTTATGATCTCCAAAGCATGTCTGCTTTCCAATTACATTGGTTGGTCTAGTAAAATAAGTTTTTCTACTGACAAATCTTAAGGGGCTTTTTTTTTTTTTTTTTTTTTTTTTTTTTTTTTTTTAAATGGCAATACTGTTTATCATATGGGACCCTTGCATTTTATCCTGTTTGGTTCTGCCATGACCAGCAGCTCTAAAGATTTCTAGCTGGTGCAGAGCTCAACAGAGAAATTTTTAGCAGATACAGGTACATGTGCATGAATGTGCACATGTAACACAATGGGTTTAAGAGAATGATGACACATAGAGCAACAACAGTACAGATTATTCCTTGCTAATATAATACTAGAAAGACCAGACTATTTAGTTGCTGTACATACATTGCCCAATAGAGAAAAAAAAAAAAGAAAAAAAAAGGTCATTCTCTGGTTCATGATATTGTAACTTTCTTCTACACACTCTCTTTCATACTCGCCACACGCCTGTTCTGCATGCCTGGGGGTAGCTAACAAAGCCCCCACTGCAAGATGTGCAGAGGTACATGAATGCACCGGGACTGTGTAATATTAGGGTAATGTTATGTTAGGAAAAAAATCATCAAGCATGTTATGAGCAGCTTAGGTTACATGTTGTAACAAGTGAACATATTGTCAATGGAAAACAGTGATGCTTACACTGCTGTGAGCCATGGTTTTCCTTTTTTTTTTTTTTTTTCAGAGCTCGATAACAAGTACTTTTTCCCATCTGTATTTTCTCCTGTGGTAAAAAAAAAAGATGATTTTTATAGGGTTTATGGGAGGGCTTGTGATTCATCAGCCCTTCAGAGCCACAACCACCTCTAAACATTGTATTTATAAGCTTTGAAGATGAATATAACAGAGGAAATAAAAGTAATAATCCCAGAGTGGGCAACGCTTACACAGATTGGGAGGGGTTAAGGAGCAGGGCAAAGACCACAGAGGGGTTGTTGGGAAGGAGGAAAAAGAAAAAGAGGGGGAGCTGAGGACTGCACATCCTCTTGGGAGTGGGTGCTTTGTTCTGCTGTAGTCCAGATGCTCATAAATCTCCCAACCTGGTGGAGGAAGACCTGTCTTGAAGCAAGATGCTGCTTAATACGAGAGTGCTGCCATAGAAGTAAAACTTCAGGTTGGCTGGATTTACCCGCACCGTGCTTTTGGACACTGAAGTGTCCAGCTCAGCGCTTCCATAGGCAAACTAAGAGATGATGGTGATGTGAATGATGGTTTTCACAGCGCAGCGACAGATCCAACTTGGATATTCTGTGATTCTTTGATATGTCACCCCCCTCACCCCTTTTTTTCTTACCCAGTTCGGGAGCTTTGCTGTGACACCAGTTCTGTACACAAGGACAGCTGAACCTTAACAGCATAACCATGAGCTACTCTTGGCAGCACTCAGATCCGCGGCTTTCCCTTTTGTTCGCCCCTACCCCACCCTTCTGGGTGTCTGGCGAGGTGTCAGTTGTGCTGGTATCCCCGGGTATCCCTCACTGAAAACGCTGAACCCTAAAAAAACTCCCCGCTGCCAAGATCTGCATTTCTAGCTCGGCTCTCCTCTGAAGTGGGGGGAAAAATGAAAGAAGAGGGGAAAAAAGACCGAGTCGGTTTTTGGCAGCGCTCCTCTCACAGAAGAACATTCCACACTTTCACATGAAAGAGATTTTTAGCAAACCAGAGCAAAGAGTCAAAATGACAAACACAAACAATTACAAAAAACTGC